TGGCTGCATCTCTCCGCCCCGCTTCTCTATCTCAGAAGCACACACTTTCGAAGGTCTACTGTTCCCCTCTTCTGTCTGCAGCCATTTCCCAGGTCCCTGGGTTGCCATTAGGCTGTGGAAAGCCACATTGTGGCACTTCAGGTGGGACGCCACCCTGGCCTAGTCCTGGTGAAGGAGAAGGTAGGGGCTTCTTTATCTGCAGGAGGGGCAGATGAACCTGAGCCACAGCTGAGTAGACTCCAACTTTTGCTTGGAAGAGGAAGCGCAAGCAAGGTTCTGAAGGGATAAACCTGGACAAACACCGGAATGAAGTTTAGAAGGGATAGACTGAAAACCATGTGTTCAGGGCTGGAGCAATGGCTCCGTACGTACGACCCTCGTCAGATCCACAACACCCACAGAAGCTCACAACTGTCCGTAATTCTAATCCCAGGGGATTGGCACTGCCCATGGTGTATAGACCCACATACAGGTCAAACATCCATACACATGAAACAAGTGGGTTTTTTTTTTTTTCCGAAGGTAAAACTTTGTATTAACCCCATCGAGGCACCAGGCCAGCTACTGAGGATGCCAGGGAGCCCCATGGAGGTGAAGAGCGTGTGTGACTTGTCCACTCCTGAAGATGAGATTAGACCCAGCCTTGGGGTGTAGTTCAGAGATGGAGTACAGGGCGAGCATTCAACAAGTTCTGGGTTCAATCTCCAGCACCAAAAGAATTATTAAAAATGTAAACCAAGATATAAAATTTTTTTCCAACTACTTTTGTTGGTTTGTGAAGTAAAATGAGAGGCTGAGAAGGGGGTGCTGGTGGGAGACAAGACCCCAGGTCAGAGGGAGGAAATGAAGGAGCACGCTGGCCTGGGAGAGGAAGGGAAGCCAGGGGCCTGTGTCTCTAGGATGGGAGCACTGGGCACTGGCCCAGCTGATGCTCTCAGCCTCTGGTACTTCCTGGCTTTAACTCCCCCCAGCCCCCACTCCCACGCCCCCTCCTTGGTTTAATGACTCATTCCCCACCTTCCCCAGCTTCCTGGGTGGCAGATTCCAGAGTCTCCAGAGACTCTGGAGAATGGGATGAGACTGGGGGAGAAGGAACGGCAACAAGCTGGGTTCTCTGGGTCATCTCGCCATCCCGTGCTGCTACGGCCGGCCACAAGAAATGTCCCTGTTTGGGGAGGACGGTAAAGCTAACTAGGCCCAGCTGGAGCCAGAATTCAGATGTGGGAGTTTGTGTTGAAACCTGAACCCGAGGTCTCCTTTCTTTCCCCTCCCTGACTGAAGCCCTGAAGAAATTTTCCATCACAAACAAGTGAAGCATCCCTAACCTGGGGGGCTCCCCCTCTCCCCCTCTCCTCCTCTCCCCCACCAAACAGTTTCCTCTCATCCTCTCCATGTGTGAGGAGAGTGTGGGCAGGTGTGCAGTAGCCTCCGCTCAGATGCAAATCTGGGGACGCTGGCCAATAGGCAAGGCAGATTTGAGGAGGAGGGTTGTTTGTTTCCCCTACAGGAAGAGGTGTATGCAATGTGGGAGCTGTCCCCCGTGTTTAGATGGGGATACTAATCCCAGGAAACAGTCACACACACAGCAGTGAAACCTCTACTTATAGCACAAGTGTGAGGCTTATGTGCTTTCCTAAGCATCCTTGGTTGAAAAAAAAAAAAAAAGCCCGTGTGTTTCCAGTTTGGTGTAAACGCAGTTCTAGGGCTGACGAGATGTCTCGGGAGGAAAAGGTACTCACTACCAAGCCTGGAGTCCTGAGCTCAGCCCAGTGAAGCCCACATGGAGGAAGGAAAGTTCTCCTGTGACCCATCCACCCCCAAATAAATGCAATAATAATGTTAAAACTTTCATGTTGAGTTAGAAGCCACGGCAGTGTATGGCTTTAATCCCAGCACTCGGGAGACAGGCAGATAGAGCTCTGTGAGTTCAAGGCCAGCCTGGTCTATGGAGCTAGTTTCAGGTCAGCCAGGACTACACAGAGAAACCCTGTCTTGAAAAGTGAAATAAATTAATAAACAGAAAACTTCTAGGTTGAACATAGCTCAGTGGTAAAGCATTAGCCTAGCAGACAGAGGCCTCGTTTTCAGTTTCCAGTTTTTTGGGTTTTTGTTTTTAAGTTTAAAAAAAGAAATTTCAGCTTTTCCTTTTAAAAAAAAGTTTTGATTAGCCAGGTAGTGGTGGCACAGCCTTTAATCCCAGCACTCGGGAGACAGAGACGAGACAGTCACATCTCTGTGAGTTCAAGGCCAGCCTACTCTACAAAGAGAGTTCCAGAACAGGCTTCAAAGCTACAGAGAAACCCTGTCTTGAAAAACAAACACACACACACACACACACACACACACACACAAATAATTAAATTTATTCGTTCTGGGCTGGAGGGATGCCTCAGCGGTTAAGAGCACTAACTATTCTTCCAGAGGTCCTGAGTTCAATTCCCAGCAACCACATGGAGGCTCGCAACCATCTGTAATGAGATCCGGTGCCCTCTTCTGGCCTGCAAATATATGTGCAGGCAAAACACTGTATACATAATAAATAAATAAAAATAAATAAATCTGTTTTTTATGTGTGTGTCTGTGCACCCACGTGCATCTCTAGTTCCAGAGATCAGAGACACTATTAGAGCCCCTAGAACTGGAGTTAAGGGTGGCCACCATGCAGATGCTGGTCAAAGCCGGATCCTCAACAAGAGCAGAAGCTCCCCAGCTTTTCCTAAGACGCTGTTTCTCTGGGAAGTTTAAAGGAACGTATTCATGTTCCAGAAGCCTGGAGGCCCTAGCCAGTCTGAGAATATTATGTGTACCCTTATAGCTCTGTATTTTCATCTTTACTTAGTAAGATTATTGAGGGCTAGAGAGAAGGCTCAGGAGGTAGGAGCACTTCTCGCTCTTGCGGAAGGCTGCAGTTTGGCTCCCAACAGCCATAACCGGCGGCTTATACCCAGTTCCAGGGCTTCCAGCACCCTCTTCTCGCTCCTTTGGCTCCACTGTGCTGGGTTCTATGAAGGACAAGTGTGTGTAGCACAGCTTCTGACCGAATGATGGGACTCACATGTACTCACCGGGCTCAAAACGAGATGAAGTTCTGGGCCAGGCTCACCCTGGACCCAGTTCTATTTTAAGGCTCCTACGTGTTCTTCCTCCGTCGATACGCCAACGTAGTACCCAAATCACCCAAATCTGGTGATCTCACGCCAGCAATGTGTCTTCCGGTCTTGTTTTGGGCTGCTGTTACCTTTACCTGGGATGAGCCCATCCCAGACAGTTCCCAGCTTAGATTGATTGCTCTTCTCCTGGATTGTGCTCCATAGTCTGGGGTCTGCCCTGTGAGTGCTCCTCTCTGTCTAGTTCCTCGCCCGCCATTAGCACTTCCCAGGAAACTTACTGTGTGTGACATTGCTTTCCTCCAGATGAGTCCTGTACTTTTCCAGCTCCAATTTTTCCACAGTCACCTCTTCCCATCTGAATGTGTCATATCCCACCTATTGGGTCATCTCAAAGGTCACTCTTGGCTGAAGTCTTCCTGACTGATTAGTCAGAGGTGAACACCAGCTCCTCGGGGTCCCCTTTGATAGTCTTCTTAGGACCCTCAGAAGAGTTCTGGTCATGGCCGCCTTGTAAGCCCAGACCAAAGTGACAGCTGTATCTGGCTTGCTTCCCTCCTACAACGCTAAGCTGGGAGCTTCCAGTAGCACATATATATTTGTATGTAATTTGATTATTTATTCGGATGTGTGTATGCGTGGGCATATGTAGACCACATGTGGAAGTCAGAGGGTGGCTTTCTAAGAACCACTTCTACCATGTGGATCCCAGGGGTCAAATTCGGGTCATCAGACCTAGCAACAATCACCTTCACCCTCTGAGCCATCTCACCTGGCTTTTGGGAGGGGGGTGTTTGGTTTCATTTTAAAACATTTCACTTTTATTTTATGTATATGAGTATTTTGTCTGTCTGTCTGTATGTGCACTGCATGCATACCTGGTGCCTACAGAGTCCAGAAAAGGGCACCAGATCCCCTGGGACTGGTTGTGAGCTGCCCTTTGAGTTCTTGGAACTGATCCCAGGACCACCGCAAGAGCAGCAAGTGCTCTTAACCACTGTGCCATCTCTCCAGACCCTTTTTTGTTTTTTTGTTTGTTTTGAAACTGATCTTGCTATGTTCCCTAGACTGGTCCCAAACATCCTGGGTTCAAGATACCCTCCTTGGCAAGCCTCAGGGAAGAGGGTCACAGTTTTATATTGTGCTGGGTGACTTCCTTAACACCTTTATTCAAACTGTTCCGGGTCCCCTGAAATGTTGACTTCTGTGTCCAGGAAGAGAGAGGTCTCCAAAGGAGCAGAGAATTCCTGTGGGTTCTGAATGATGCTGCCTGCGACACTTGACACGATGTCTCACAATTTTAGAAAGCTCTTCATTTTATGGCTCATTTTGTGACCCATCCAACAGAGGCTGCTGACTTCTTGTCCCCGCTCTACCCCTCTTTGAATAACTTCACCGGTTTGTCACTAACAGTCATTGCACATACGTGTGTGCTTGTGAAATACACGTGATGTGTGTCTGCGTTCTCACGTATGCCTAGGCAAGCAAAGCTGGGTCTGTGGGTTTTAGTGTGTTCTTAGTCTTCTTGGAAGTTTGTGCAATTTTTCTACGCATACTTCCAAGTACGTGGATGTGTTTTCTGTGCTCCCTTGATCTTGCGGGACGTCTCTAACCATGGTGGCTGAACCATCTGCTACACGTCTGGGAGCCCCCTCTAGACACCGCTTGTCCGGACATGTGCTTACTTCCAGCGATTGCACCCACCCGCATTCACTACTTCGGGGCAAAAACGTGCACTGGGGCACCTAAGGAGTAGGCAGTCAAGGCTCCACCTACACTTTTTGCTTCCTCCTCGGAATTTCCAGCCCTTCGCAGCCAACTGCTCCCCAGCTGAGAAGGGCGGAGTTCCGTGGGACCGTCCCCTTATTTGACTATATAACTAGCGCCGCCTCGCTGGAGATCTGCATTCTTCCTCACTCTCTGCACAGCGCTGAAACTATGTGCCACTCGCGCAACCATCTCCACACCATGACTGCCCTGCGGGCCCCGGCTCCCGCTCCCTCCGCCAGCTCGGAACTCCGGCGGGGCTCCGGTCCCGAGATTTTCACCTTCGACCCTCTCCCGGAGCCGGCGGTAGCGTCCGCCACGCGTCTGAACACTTCCCGCGGACACCGAAAACGCAGCCGAAGGGTGCTCTACCCTCGAGTGGTGAGTAGTATCGCCGGAGTGGGCAGCAGGGGCTCGCGTCGCTGTGGTACTTACCGGGAACAACTAGACGCGGAGACCTTGATCTGACTTTTCCCTCTTTTATCTCTTCCCAGGTCCGGCGCCAGTTGCCAACCGAGGAACCCAACATTGCCAAGAGGGTCCTCTTTCTCCTGCTCACCATCGTCTTCTGCCAGATCTTGATGGCTGAGGAAGGTGTATCGCAGACCCTGGCCGCAGAGGATGCTACCGGTGCCGCGTCACCTGAGCCCGTCTCTGCGCCCATCACTGCGCCGCCCTTCTTCGAGCCCTTCAATCTGACCTCCGAGTCCTCGGACTACGCTCTGGACCTCAAAGCTTTTCTTCAGCAACACCCAGCAGCCTTCTAAATGCGACCGGTCACACTCAGTCCGAGAAAAAGAAAGAGGCACCAGCCGTACCTGGTGCGCCAGAGCGTATCCCAAACTGGGACTTATAAGGGCAACGCCAGCTCAGAACACTACAGCCAAGATGCCAGTGCTTGGGGAGCCCGAGGCACCGTGCGTCCCGGCTAGGCCTACTGGAGAAGGACAGAGGCCTTCCCAGTGTTCTAATGAATATTTATGTATTTATGTATATCCTCCTAGGTGAAGGAGGGGGTGTATGTAATATTTATTCTAATTTATGCAGGGGTGCGAGATATGCCCCCTTGCTGTAACACAGTTGTCTGGATTATTTATTAATGAGTTATAGGGTCGGGGAGACAGAGTGGCGGGAGGGAGCAACTGGGAGTTAGACTTGGTGGTAGTTCGTAGGTTTAGGGTAACACTCCGTCTTCCAGCACCCCAACTCTGTAGTCTGTTGTAAGGCTTTCGGCAGACCCTTGGGAATCCGGTCTGTGGCCTTTGATATCTCCCTGGTTGCTTCTCAGGGGCGGCTGCGGGAGTCTTGGGTCCATGGGTCAGAGGGCGGATGTCGGGGGTCGCCTAGTATGTTCTGTGAACACGAATAAACTTGATTGCCGGTTATTATTATCAGCAGTTCTCCAAGTGTTTTTTTTTTTTCCCAAGTGACCAAACATTAAAAAGACGAAAAATAAAAAAATTAAAAAAGGAGGCGGCGGGAGGATGTGACTAGGTCCCAGGTCCGCACCCCTTCTTGGTGCCCGAGCTCTTTTTCTTGGAGTTCCAGACCTACATCCGGTCACCGGATGCTGTCATACATTGCTGGGTCTGCGGTTTTCCCGGTTAGCCGGTAGTGTGGTAACCTGCTTACTCACGGTGGACGGCGGGTACCCAACGACCTGACATGGAGGGCGTGGCCTCGTGGGGCGGGGCTTCCTCGGGGGGTGGGTGCTGAGGGGGGAGCGCCTGGCGTCCCCACGCGCAGCCGAGAGCTGGAGTGCTGCGGACCCGAGCGGGGCCTGCTGGGAAAGGGGCGGACCGAGGGGTTGGTCGGAGGGCGGGGTCGCGTCTGCTGCAGCAACAGGGTGCGGTCGGGTTGGGGGCGCCAGCGCACCTTCCAGTTAGCTGGGTGCCCGAGCTGCCCCTGCCTCATTCTAGGGCTCTGGGCGCCTCCGCGCGCGCTTCCCAAGACCCCCCAGTAAGGTTGCTACCCGCGTAGCGGAAGGTGAGTGGGAAGGGGAGGCGGAGCCATGGGCGGCCGAGTAGAGGGGAGAATGCGGAACGGTCTGCAGACCCCTGGGCGCGGGAGAGCTTTTTAGGATGGAGGGGCTAGGGGGCGCAGGAGAGGAAGGCCGTGAGAATCAGCAGACACAAGGAAGTAGTCCCTGAGGATTTTAGGACTGTCGTGGGGCGGTGGCACAAGCAGAGCGTGCTCCTGATAGAGGGAGGAGGAGGTGCCACAAGGCCCCTTCCCCTCTGCAAAGGCTTTCTCTCCATCCCCCAGCCGCAGCTTCAATTATGTTTTTCACTTGTGGCCCAAATGAGGCCATGGTGGTCTCCGGTAAGTCTTGTCCCAGCCCGTGACACCCGCTCCACCCCTAAACCCCCCTCCTCTCCTTACCAGCCCCAACCTCCTGGCCACGGTGGGCGCAAACCACCGTGATTCCCAGCCTCTATTTTCCAAGAATGCTTTTGTAATGCTGTCCCTCAGTTCCCAGATTCTCCCTTGAGTGTGTTCCACCCATCACCCTCACCCTGTAGTCATTTTGGCTCTGCCATGGCCACATTATGCCCTCACCTTACAGGGTTCTGCAGGAGCCCCCCAGTCATGGTGGCTGGGGGCCGAGTTTTTGTCCTGCCCTGCATCCAACAAATCCAGAGGTAGGTAGTCACAGAACCCTGGGACGCAACCGATTTTCCTCTCCGCTCTTTCCCTTACTGTCTCTCCTTTCCCCCTAGGATCTCTCTCAACACACTGACCCTCAATGTCAAGAGTGAGAAGGTCTATACCCGCCATGGGGTCCCCATCTCAGTCACGGGCATTGCCCAGGTGAGGCTGTCAGAGCCTTCCTCCCAAAGCCCACACCCACCTTTCCCTGGCCACTGAGTACCTCTGACCACAGACTTCTCTAATCTGCCTTTCTGCTGCTCTCGCCTCCTCCAGCCGCGCTCCCAAGGCACCCACCTCTCCTCCTCTCTCTACTGTGGCTGCAGGTGAAAATCCAGGGCCAGAACAAGGAGATGCTGGCAGCCGCCTGCCAGATGTTCCTGGGGAAGACAGAGGCCGAGATTGCCCACATTGCCCTGGAGACGCTGGAGGGCCACCAGAGGGCAATCATGGCCCACATGACTGTGGAGGTGGGACTGGGGGATGCCAGGCTGAGTGGCACCTGAGGACCAGCTTGTCTGTGACAGATGATGAATCTGACCTCCTCCTCCTCCTCCTCCTCCTCCTCCTCACTTTTCTCTCTAGGAGATCTATAAGGACAGACAGAAATTCTCAGAGCAAGTTTTCAAAGTGGCCTCCTCAGATCTGGTCAACATGGGCATCAGCGTGGTTAGCTACACCTTGAAGGACATTCATGATGACCAGGTGAAAATATACAGTTGAGGCAGGCTTGGTGGCTGGAGCTCGTCATCCCATCCCTGGGGGTAGGTTGTGGGGACTAAGGCAGAAGGGATCCATAGGTCATCTGGGCTGCACCATGAGTTCCAGACCAGACATCCAGAACTACGTGATAGAGAGACCCTGTCTGGGAAAGCAAAGAACAAGTTTAGTGGTAAAGCACTGACCCAGGTCGGCGTGCTGGGCCTCTGGTTCAACCCCTGTACCACAGAGCAGACAGAAGCCTCGACCCCCTCTCTCAAGTCCTCCCGAGACCCTGGTTTCGTTCTCCCACAGGACTACTTGCACTCTTTGGGGAAGGCTCGTACAGCGCAAGTCCAGAAGGATGCTCGGATTGGGGAAGCAGAGGCCAAAAGAGATGCCGGGATACGGGTGAGGGAGATGGGGGCTGCTGGGTCTCTGCTGGCTTATTAGACACCCAGTGGACAAGGGCACAAGGGGGTTTGGAGGGTCCAGCTGGGTCATTGGGGGTGACAGTAGAGACATCTGGTGGAGAGCAAGCCCTTACCCTTTGGCCTTCCTCATTAATCTGACCTAGGAGGCTAAGGCCAAGCAGGAGAAGGTGTCTGCCCAGTGTCTTAGTGAAATAGAGATGGCCAAGGCACAGAGAGACTATGAGCTGAAGAAGGCCACCTATGACATCGAGGTCAACACCCGCCGAGCACAGGCTGACCTAGCCTATCAGCTACAGGTAAGTGGACCAAACTGGGCGAGTCTGGGCTGCCCAGTAACCCTTCTCTCTTCCATCTGGACTGGGAGAGACTGGGATCAGTTTTGACCCATCTTCCCCGTATGATCAGTGACAGAAGAGTCTCGGGCAGAGGCTGGAGAGGAAGCTTACTCGGCAGACATGCTCAGTGGCACACATGTGATCCCTGCACTCCCCATGCCGGGGAGACAGAGACAGGTAGATCTTGGGGGATCACCAGTCAGCTGGGCTAGCATAAATCATTGAACCTCAGGCCAGTTGTCTCAGAATAAAGGTAGATGGTGCCTCGAGAGGAATGTCCTCTGGCCTCCCAAACACACATGTACATGCACACCTGTACATGCATGTGTATCTGCACACACATGTAGAATAGAGCATTCAGCTGAAAACCTCCCAAAAAAGAGACCGGCAGTGGTAGCACATTCCTTTAATCCCAGGAGGCAGAGGCAGGCGGATCTTTCTGAGTTTGAGGCCAGCCTGGTCTACAGAATGAGTTCCATGACAGCCAGGGCTGTTACACAGATATACCCTGTCTCAAAAAACAAACAAAATAAGAAAGAAAGAAAAAAAGAAAGAAAGAAAGAAAGAAAGAAAAAAAGAAAGAAAGAAAGAAAGAAAAGCCATAAATCTGGTTGATCAAGAGGGTCACCATGTTTGGGCTAGCCTGTGCCTGTCTGTGAGGGCACCTGGCTGCAGGTAGAAGCCAGAGTGATGAGCCACCCTGTGCTCCGTTCACCAAGCTGTGTGTTAGGAGTCTGCACCTGTTCAGAAGAAGAGAAGTTTTCTCTCACTTGCGGAGGTACCCCAAAACTTAAAGAAGAGGGTGAGAAGGAAGCAGACGTGGGCCTTGAATAGTAGAAAGTGCTCTATGGGCAGCCCTTTGTATTACAAGAGGAATAGCTGGTCCCTGTCGTTCATGGGTTGCACAGTTGCGAATCTGCCTGCTCGCTGGGATTAGTGAGCCCCCAATCCGTGCTTGCAGCATTCGTGTAAAGCATGGGCAGGCACGGGATGCTGAGGAATTCTAGTTCCTGAAGCCGTCTGCAGATGAGCTCAGACTAGAATGTGCTGCCTTGTGTCAGCTCGTGGGCCTCAAACGATTTCACCTGGTATCAACACCATTTCTGCATTTTTGGGCTTTTTGTTAGTAATCTTGCTGTTTCAAATGACTCTTGGGACTGAGGGTATAACCCACTCACATGCTCACAGGGAAACAACACTCCAGTAGTACTAAAGTGCCGGTGGGGTCCCTTAGCGCCGACGCGGTGATGTGCCTTATGGAGAAAGTGTGTGCTGTTACCTTTGTTCAGACAGGAATTCAAGTACAGTTGGCTACTGTCCCACAGGAGTGCAATAGAAGGCGTCTTTATTACTGTTCTTTTGTTCTTCAAGACAGGGACTCACCATATTCCTGTCTGGTCTGGAACTGGCTATATAGACCACTGACTGGCCTCAAACTCACCTGCCTCTACCCTCAACTGAGGGCTAGGATTAACATTGTGCACCACCATGTCTCACAAACCAGGCTCAAACTTGTAGCAAGCCTCCTGTTTCAGCCTCTTCCTTTTTTCTTTAAGATTTGTCTTATGTAGATGATGCTCTATTCTGCATGTACAAGTTTATATAGAAGAGGACACCAGATCCCACTATAGATGGTTTTGCGCCACCATGTGGTTGCTGGGAACTGAACTCAGGACCTCTGGATGAGCAGCCACTGCTATTAACCTCTGAGCCGCCTCTCCAGCTCCCTATTTCAGCCTCTTTACTGCAGGGATTACAGGCGTGTCCACCATGCCTAGTTTAGAAGGTATCTTTTGGGTTTTCAAGACATGATTTCTCTGTGTAACCCTGGCTGTCCTGGAACTCACGGCTCCACCTCTGCCTCCTGAGTGCTGGGATTAGAGGCGTGCGCCACCCATCTGTCTAGAGGGTATCTTTTAAACAAAAACACTTAAAATTAAACTTTGATTGGCTGATAAAGGATGTAGACTAGGCTGCTCCTTGAACTCACAGAGATCCTCCTGCCTCTGCCTCCAAATGCTGTGTTAGCCAGCTTTCTTGGGCTGCCAGCCCCCATATCATGACATGTAGGCTTACTATTAATTATGAATGCTCGACCTTAGCTTAAGCCTGTTTCTAGCTAGTTTTCTATTTTTGTGTTAAAGTTAGATTACGCCATTTCTGTCCATCTCCTTGTCGCCCCAGGCTCGTTTACCTCATCTACGGACAGTCTTTTCCTGCTTCCTCCATCTCTGCCCGCCTGCCCTGCGTATCCTTCCTAGTCCTAGCTGTTTTCAGCTTTTTATTAGACCAAACAGATACCTCGGGCAGGCAAGCCGAAACAGCAACACATCTTTACACAGTTAAACAAACGCAGCGTAAACAAACACGACACATCTTTATACAGTTAAACAAATGCAGCGTAAACAAACGCGACACATCTTTACACAGTTAAGCAGATATTCTACTCCACAACAGGTGGGGCTAGAGGTTCACTGCAGTCCTGTGGTAGTCAAGCATACCTTTAATCCCAGCACCAGCGCGTGGGAGGCTGAGACAGGGAAATCTGAGTTCAAGGCCAACATGGTCTACAGAGTGAGTTCCAGGACAGCCAGGGCAACACAGAGAAACTCTGTCTTGAAGAACTATAAAAGTAATAATGAGAAAAAAAAGAGAGAAATATGAACATACACACTCAATTTGTGGAAGCTGGTCACAGCGGTTGCTGCTAGGAAGGGAACCAAGCGGTTTGAGGCAAGAGGGAGGGGGTAGCCACTTTTCCCCTATCTACTTCTTCTTTTGAATTTATTTTGTGTGCAAAAGATGGGGAAAAAACACCTGCTGGCAGGGTGGAAAAGGCGGTAGTGACCATTGAGCTTCCCCTAAGAATCTCTGCAGAGGAAAGTGGGGAGGGAAGTGTGCACAGGACTGTGGAGGTGGAAGATGATCACCAGGGGCTCAGTGTACTCTAGAGAGTTACCCAAGTGGAAGACCTGGGAGGGACGCTTAGTTTCACCCAAGGGAGGCCCGGTACCTGGTCACAACCTTACAACCTTACCCATTCTAATGCTAAGGCCTTTACCTGCACTTAATTCTGTCCCTGAAATGGATCCCAGTACCCAGTTGACTGAGCAGACCAGGAAGTGACTTCATGGGCCTTTTCCGCGCCGTACCGCTGGCTTTTCTGCCGGGCTCGGTGGGGGGGGGGGGGGAGGGGGGTATTAGGGCATCTGAGGGAGGGGTAGGGCATCTGCTCCCCAGCCCTGCCTAGAGTGCCCCTTGCCCTCTAGGTGGCCAAGACCAAGCAGCAGATCGAGGAGCAGCGGGTGCAGGTGCAGGTGGTGGAGCGCGCCCAGCAGGTGGCAGTGCAGGAGCAGGAAATCGCCCGGCGAGAGAAGGAGCTGGAGGCCCGCGTGCGCAAGCCTGCGGAGGCTGAGCGCTACCGGCTTGAACGCTTGGCGGAAGCAGAGAAGTAATGCCCCTTTCCCGCGCCTCTCCTGCCCCCTTGACAGGCAGGCAAGGTGTCCTGCAATGAGCCCACTTCCCTTCTATCCCCAGGGCCCAGCTGATCATGCAGGCAGAGGCCGAAGCTGAGTCTGTGAGGGTGAGTTAGGGCATGGCTCCTGTTTGGCACAGGGAAGGGCTTGGTCAGGGTTTCTTATTCCTTTTTGCTTGTTTTGGGTTTTTGAGACTGTCTCACTGTGTAAAACAGCAGACTGGGTTCAAATTCACACAGACCCGCCCTCCTCTTCCTCCCAAGTTCTGGGATTAAAGGCACGCTCAATTGCACCCAGCTGTCTATTTTTTTGTTGTTGAATATGGAGGACAGGATGGTGCATGTACCAGATCTCTTCTTCCCATACATGTGAGTCCCGGGGATTTTGACTTAGGTTGTTGGCCTTGCCGACAAGCACTTTACCCTTTGAGTCAACTCATTGGCCTCGGCATTTCATATTCTTAAAGAGTGCCGTCATTCTCAAATACCCTGTACCCTCTACAGATGCGTGGGGAAGCGGAGGCCTTTGCCATAGCGGCGCGCGCCCGTGCCGAGGCTGAGCAAATGGCTAAGAAGGCAGAAGCCTTCCAGATGTACCAGGAGGCTGCCCAGCTGGACATGCTGCTAGAGAAGCTGCCCCAGGTCTGGGAGTGTGTGGGACTCTGGGAGAGGGGTGCCAACTGTAAGCCAGCGACCAGAGTGAGGAATTCCAGTCAGTAGTTGGGCGAGTTTGATGGGCGGTGTGGTCTGAGCTATCTCTACTCACCAGGTGGCAGAAGAGATCAGTGGTCCCCTGACCTCAGCCAATAAGATCACGCTGGTATCTAGTGGAAGTGGAACAATGGGGGCAGCCAAAGTGACTGGGGAAGTCCTGGACATCCTAAGCCGCTTGCCAGAGAGTGTGGAGAGACTCACAGGCGTCAGCATCTCCCAGGTGAGGGTGGATGCCGTGTGTGTGTGCGTGTGTGTGTGTGTCTGATACAGTAGGCTAAGTGCTTGATGGGCATCCAGGAGCCCAGGAAATCACAGACGGTGCTTCCTTGGTGCCCAAGTCACCTTGCTGAGGACCCAGGTTCGATTCCCAGAACCCACCATGTCAGGTTCTTGCTTGGCAAGTTCCAGGCCAGTGAGACCCTGACAACAAATTGGTGAACAGTGCTTGAGGAACAGCAGCTGCGGTTATTCTTCACCTTCCAGACACAAGAGAACTCCCTCCAGCAAGTTAAATAGTGTGCCGCCCCCCCCCCCCACCTCCACGGCTGGGAAGCAGAACTTCAGCCAGACTGCCTGGGCACCACAGGAGAGCAGAGAATTGGCTGCTGCCTGGTGATTGCTCATTTCATGGCAATCATTGCTTTCCTTGAGTTTACCCACTGTGGGTTATGGCAAAGGTCAGGATGATGTAAGTCACAGCCCCCTTGCCGGGGCATTGGGGAGATTGCCTCCAGAGTGCCTAGGGCAATGTTATGTGCGCCACAAAAACATGTAGTTGGGTGTAGTAGTATAAACCTCTAATCTCTGCACACAGGGGGCAGAAGCAGGCTGATCTGTAAGTTTGAGGCCATCTGGGGCCACATAGTGTGACCCTGTTTGGGAGGCTATTCTGGAACTCAACTCTGTAGACCAAGCTGGCTTCAGACTCAGAGATCCACCTACCTCTGCCTCCTCCGTGCTGGGGATAAAGGCAGGCACCACCACTGCCAGGCAAGACCCTGTCTTGTTTTGTTTTTTTTGAATTAGGGTTTCACTGTGTAGCTTTGGAGCCTATCCTTGAACTCAAGAGATTCACCTGCCTCTGCCTCCTGAGTGCTGAGATTAATAAAAGCAACCTTCACCAAGCTGGGTTTGTTGGACCATCCTTGAGGCCTGAGCTAGGCTCCTTGCTATGGAGTGTATACAATGCTCTGGTCCCTCTGACCTTCAGTGACAGATCTCCCTGACTACATTGATGCCAGGAACTTGCTTTGTAGACCAGACTGGCCTTAAACTCAGAGATCTGAGTAGATGCCACCTCGCCTAACAAGACTGTTGGCCTTTTCAGTGCCCTCCTGAACCCATTCTTCCAAGTGGTTGCTGGGGAGAGCAGGTGCCTAGTCCCACGAGTGCCTTTTTTCCTCTAGGTGAATCACAAGCCTTTGCGGACAGCGTGAGCCATCAGCCAGCCGCAGTGGTCATTGCATGCACCTCTCCTGATCCTGAGCATGCCTTCTGGCAGAGGTGCACCATATCTCCTTGCCAAAGTCTGTGCCTTGCCTTGGAGGGGTCTGCTTCCTTCTCAGCCCATTGCCAGTGCCCAGATTTTCAAAATCTGGTGTCTGGCACCAGATTTTACAGACCCCACTTAAGCCCATCCCAACTATTTAACTTCCTGAATAAACTAGACTGTGTGAACCTGTTTGGAGGCTTCTTTCTTCACCAACACCAAAATGACCCTTGTTAAATAACCAAGTACTGATAGTTTGCAGCATGCCAGAAGCATGAGAATCACAAATTCCACATCAGCCTGAACTACCCAGCAAGAACCCAACTCACTGGAAGTGGGCTGTGGGGTACACTGGGCATCAGACTCCTGCAAGCAAGAAGACATCATCTGGGGTACCACAGCAAATACCAGAGTACGTGACACGGTCTTCATCTGTAACCCTAAAACACCCTGCTTTATACTTTCAAAGCCCATTATGCTACCTAATACAACTAGCATTGTGGTAGCTCCAGCCTGCAGAGACAAAGCCCCTGACCACCTATGGCTTTCTGACCAGAGGTAAAAGAATCACAGGTTAAAACCTAGTGGTGGCAGTGTACGCCTAATGCCTGATGTTGAGGCAGAGCCAACCTGATCTAGAGTTCCAGAACAGCCAAGGCTACAGAGAAACCTGGGGAGGTGGGGGACTAGCCCCAGAGGGATCTGGAATGGGCTAGAAGTTTGAAAATGGAACATGGGAGTCAATTCACAGGCACTAATATGGCCCAAGCAGCTCTGCACCCCACAACCCTCTGCTGAATGCTGGCGTTTGAGGTTTGCCTAACCTTGCTTTACTAGTTGTCTCCCCCCCCCAGAGCTAACGGTCCCCAGCAAACTGCTAGGCAGACCTAATCACCTAGTTAAGGGTAGCCTGGGCACATTAGGTCAGTGCTAGAGCATAGGGCACTGTCTGATAGGATGGGATACTTTGCTTACCAAGAATATGAGATAAAATGAAGTCCCGTGACATCCTCATGCGCTGGGCCCCAAAGCCTCGACTGTGGCTTGACCTAACCCTGAATGACCACACCTCACACCTTTTTTCCAACTCCCATTTATTTGTCGGCTCTTGGGGCAATGTCATCTTTTCAATATGAAAAAAAAAGCAGCCAAGTTCAACACAAAAAAGGGTATGACCAAACCAGGAAGAAAACGGCAGAAGCAGAGACAGGTCCCAGACACCCCAGTGTCAGCACACCTTCCCAGGTTTGGAGGTCAATGGACGGGGCTGTTTCTGGACAGCCAGAGACCAAGGCTCTGTTCCACTCCCACCTTAGAGAAAGAAGGAATACAGGGAAGACACCTCCAATGGCAGATTTGGCTCAGGACAGCTGGAGGTTATAAATGGAGATAATACTGTTAATCCGTCCCCTGAGGCTGAGAGATGAGGCAGAGAAAAACCTGTCAATTGAAAAAGCCTCAGTGGATTCCCCTGTGGAAACGGCCTTGACTGGAAAACCCGCCCCTCTCTTCCCAGTGACCTCTACCTGGCACCCTTCTTCCCATCCTGATCTCCTTAGCTTTAGGATGGTGGCCACTATCTGGGTCTTTAGTAATGGACTTGTTCTAGGCGGACTCTGGAGCAGAACTCAGGTTCCTGGGGAATATAATGGAAACATTTGACAGTCATGAGAAATGGGTACCAGAAGGAAACAGGGCAACACTCAGAATGGCAGAAGTGTAGGTTTGTCAGAGTGGAAAGAGAAAGGAGACATTCCACAAACAAATATTTATTGAGCGCCTACTGTGTGCCAGGCACCGTTCACTTCCCCCCGCCCCAGTGAAAAAAACGAAAAAACAGGACAGAGGCAGCAGAAAGAAAACTCTGAAGGAGAAAAATGGGCAGCTGAAGAAAGCTGAGGGAACTAAGCAGCCTGAGGTGATGCGGGGCTTTCTGCCTTAGGCCTCTTCTTCTGCCTCCTCCCCGAAATCCTCCTCCTCTTCCGCAGTGGCATCCTGGTACTGCTGGTACTCGGAGACGAGGTCATTCATGTTGCTCTCGGCTTCGGTGAACTCCATCTCGTCCATGCCCTCACCTGTGTACCAGTGGAGGAAGGCCTTCCGGCGGAACATGGCCGTGAACTGCTCCGAGATGCGCTTGAAGAGCTCCTGGATGGCCGTGCTGTTTCCGATGAAGGTGACTGCCATCTTGAGGCCGCGGGGTGGGATGTCACAGACCGCCGTCTTGACATTGTTGGGGATCCATTCCACAAAGTAGCTGCTATTCTTATTCTGCACGTTGAGCATTTGCTCGTCTACCTCCTTCATGGACATCCGCCCGCGGAAGACAGCTGCGACGGTGAGGTATCGGCCGTGGCGGGGGTCGCAGGCAGCCATCATATTCTTGGCATCGAAGACCTGCTGGGTAAGTTCAGGCACAGTGAGGGCCCGGTACTGCTGGCTTCCACGGCTGGTGAGCGGGGCAAAGCCGGGCATGAAGAAGTGGAGACGCGGGAAGGGCACCATGTTGACAGCCAACTTTCGGAGGTCAGCATTGAGCTGGCCTGGGAAGCGGAGGCAGGTGGTGACACCGCTCATGGTGGCGGAGACGAGGTGGTTCAGGTCTCCGTAGGTTGGCGTGGTGAGCTTGAGGGTACGGAAGCAGATGTCATAGAGGGCCTCGTTGTCAATGCAGTAGGTCTCATCGGTGTTTTCGACCAGCTGATGGACGGAGAGGGTGGCGTTATAGGGCTCAACCACGGTGTCGGACACTTTGGGTGAAGGCACCACGCTGAAGGTATTCATGATACGGTCGGGGTACTCTTCTCGGATCTTGCTGATGAGCAGGGTGCCCATGCCCGAGCCCGTGCCTCCACCCAGAGAGTGGGTCAGCTGAAAGCCCTGCAGGCAGTCACAGCTCTCTGCCTCCTTCCGCACCACATCGAGAACGGAGTCAACCAGCTCAGCTCCCTCTGTGTAGTGACCCTTAGCCCAGTTGTTGCCTGCCCCAGACTGACCTGGAATGTGGGCGTGAAGAAAATTAAAAGCTTAGTCACTAAGACAGAAGAGACATACATGAATATCACTAATCTTCCAACTTTTGGAATAATCCCCCTTGGTATATGAAAATAAATTTTATGTAACTCACCAAAAACAAAGTTGTCTGGTCTGAAGATCTGGCCAAAAGGACCTGATCGAACGGAGTCCATGGTCCCGGGTTCTAGATCCACCAAGATAGCTCGAGGGACATACTTGCCACCTAAAGAGATTCAAGTAGATGTTTGAGAGCCCTCTGCAGTGAAGATCAATTTTGGGTGGGAAATGCCACAAACCACTAAACTTGTCATTCCAGGAACTTCCACCTGGTGGCAGTAGAGCTCATCTCTGGCCCCTTATGGTGGGTGTCTAATGGAAAAGGGAGATTCTTCATGCAAACGGTATAACAGTTACTTAATGTAGGAAATCAGGGCACAAGGATGCCGCCTTTACGTCCTGCCCTTGGGAGGTAACCCGATCTTTGTAAGTTCCAGACTGCAAAAATCAGACCCTGTCTCGATAGCGTAGGGTTTAAAAAGACCCGGGAAATGTGTTAACAGCGAAAAAGGAGCGGATTTTCGCCTTTACCTGTGGCTTCATTGTAGTAGACGGAGATTCGGTCCAGCTGCAGGTCGCTGTCTCCGTGGTAGGTACCGGTGGGGTCGATGCCGTGTTCATCGCTTATCACCTCCCAAAACTGCACAGGGAAGAGCAATTAACCGTCAAAGGCTCAAGTCCTATGGGATGACTCCCGCCCGCATTTCAATTCTAGACATGCTCAAACGAAGCAGAGGTGCAGAAACTGCAATTCCGTTATCTGCCTGCCGAACCTCCACCAGAGAAAAATCACCGCATTTGTGGCTAGGATTAAGTTCAGGGGGCTGAGGGTTGCGAGCATTCACATGGTCGGACGGACTGGACAGCCACCCGCCCATTTGACCAGCACCCAGCCAAGCGCTTCAGGATGGGCACCGCCCCTCTAGGCCAGCACAAAAGAGGGTTGGGGGAAGAGAAAGGTGCGGCCACTGCAGTCGCCCACCCCTTACGCGTTCCACGTGACTGCGGTGGCGGGCCGGTCTTCCAGCAGCCCACAAAGGCGGGAGTAGCGTGGGCGGGGCCTGGCACGAGGGGCGGGACCAGTGCGTCCCCGCCGGCTAAGGCTGCATTGTCCCTGCGCGCCAGGGGCGGTAGCCCCGCCCCCGGAGGGTCCCACCCTTCGGCTACAATTTAGCGGCCGCACTTCCTCCTCCCCACCCCTCCCCCGCTACATTGTAATTGCGCGCAAAAGAAAAAAAAAAAAACATGGCTGCAGATTTTTATTCCTTTGCTAGCTTCCCTCTCCTAAATAGTCTCTCTCTCGCACACACACTTCGTTCCGAGACTTACAGACACGCAAGCCTCTCACTTTTCCATGAGGTCACACCCTAAGATTTCTTAAAGGCAATGAAAAGTAAAAGTAGCCCCCACACAGAACCATCATCTACCTAGAAGCTTAATCAAGCCTGGGGGTGGCGAATGCCCTTCGGTCTCCAAGCCTTTGTTGAAAGGTAACGCGCAACGGACCACGTCGTAGGGATCTGCAGCTGCCCGCCCAACCTCTCCCCTTCCCCCCCCTCCAGGCGGGGTGGGGGTGGCGCGAGGGGAAAACCTCGCTTCGGCTTTGTCTCGGATCGTTTCCGCATCTCTCCTCTCCAGTTCTCGAAACGTTAGAAAACCCCTCTAAATAGGTACTTTACAGTTCCACAGACTCCCGGTTCCCTAAATACTTAAGTCTCTTTTAACGGCTTTCCGAAAATGTGCCAAGAAAAATATTTCTCAATTTCTCAGCATCAGAATGCTAGCCACAAATATGGGCTATATTCATACGTGCAAAACTTTGAGGGGCAAAGCTAACGAATGGAGAATGCAAGCCCCTGGTAACATTACCCATGACTAACCTGGATTTTTCGTGCTCACATATTTCACCTAAATTTTAAAATCCTTACCTTAGCACCGATCTGGTTGCCACACTGTCCGGCCTGGATGTGCACGATTTCCCTCATGGCTTTAAGATAGGTACCAAGCAAGAAAAGATAATTATTTCTCTTTCTGGGCTGGTCTCAGGCTGAAAGGATGGAACGTGGCCCCGGAGGCTGCAGCAGCGAGATGCGACCACGACCGCAGGAAGGTTCTAAGAGGCAGGAGAGGCCGGCGAGCGCAGGAGGAAAGGCGCGCAGGGCGGGGCGCGCGTTCGCGCGGTCGGGGGCGGGAGATAGGCGGGAGCCCCTGGTCGCAGACAAAGCCTCTCCAGCCCGGCGCTGATTCGACCTCTCGATCACGTGCGAGGCGACCATTGGTCTAGGAGCCAGTGGCGAGCGCAGTCCTTTTCGGGAGATGTAGTTCTCTATTGTTGTCCACGCTGCAAAATGAAGTTAGGCATGGGTGGGTACTGTGGGAGGCTTAGTGGGTAGCTTGCGCGTGGGTGTGATTGTATTTATTTTTAAGGGAAAGTACCTCTCACGAGATTCCTGTCCTCTAGTCCTGAGAGAGGTTTTTGTGCTATGAAGTTTTGGGAGGTCTGAGGTGTCCTCAATTGGGAGATGGTATAGGCACGCCCAGCAAGCTGCCCACCGCAGTTGATCTGGTCAGGGCAGACTGCATAGCTCAGCGGAAAGTCCCGAGAAATGTGGCGTCCTGCCCTGATACATACTATCTAGTTCTTTGTGGTCCCAAGACAGGAACTTCAGTAAGCACCACTCACTCCCTCGCACCCCTCCTGAAGAAAAGGATTGTCCTCCTGTTTCTAAGGGAGTTGTCCCAAGGATGTTTCGAAAGAGAAACAAAATTGCAAGGACTTTTCAGACTAGAAATGTTGCCTGAGAGGGATGCTCATAAAGGGTGAAGGTGTAAATCTGTGCGTGGGGGTGGTGAGGTGGGGTTGAGCCTTTAGGACCACGGTGAAGACATCCTGGTCTTCTTGTCATTATAGACTGTGAATTAGAATTCCTAATTGAATATCAGCGTCTTCTGGTGCCTTTCAAGACACCTGGGTTTTTGGTTGGTTGATTTTATTCACTAGGCGTGGCTGTGGCAGAGTCCTGCAATTGTGAAAAAGGGGATAGGGGAACTGAATGGACTCAGGTCAGAGCCCATAAGCTTCCCAGGGTTTCATCTGATAGAAATTGAGTACCCTAAAAGGTGTAAAGGGAGCCGGGCGGTGGCGCACGCCTTTAATCCCAGCGCAGGATACAAAATGATTAACTAGAGTCAGAACAGGTGTGGTTCACACCGGTGTTTTCCGATTTAGAGGCAGAAGGGTCTAAGAAAGTTAAAGGTCAACCTGGGCTAATTAAGAGAGTTCCTGGACCGCCTGAGGTACAGCTTCAGACTGTAAAATTAGCTTGTACTCAACTTCCCAAGCAGTAGGGAGGTTGAAACAGAAGGATTCTTGTCGGTTGAAGGCTAACTTGGTCTACAAAATGAGAGTCTGTCTTGAAAACCAAATACTTTCAGTTGGAGAGATGACTCAGCAATTAAGAGTAGTCACTGTTTTCAAGAAGACCCAGGTTCAATTCCCATCACCCACAGAAAGGCTTTCAACTATCCATGAGTCCAGTTCCAAGGGACCCAACACCCTTTTCTGTCCTCTGCAGGCATGTGGAACACAAATAGTGCACAGACAGCTATCCAAGCAAGGTACTAACACACATAAATATCTTTTAAAAAATAAGAAACCGGGCGGTGGTGGCGCATGCCTTTAATCTAATCCCAGCACTCGGGAGGCAGAGGCAGGCGGATCTCTGTTCAAGGCCAACCTCATCTACTGAGCAAGTTCCAAGACAGGCTCCAAAGCCACGGATAAACCCTGTCTCGAAAAAACAAAAAAATTAAAAAAGAGGAAATGAGGCTGGAGCGATGGGTCAGTGGTTAAGAGCACTGGTTGTTCTTCCAGAGGATCTGAATTCAATTCCCAGCATCCACATGCAGCTCACAACTGTCTTTAACTCCAGTTCCAGGGGATCTGATACCTTCGTAGCAACACATAATGTTAAATGAAATATTTAATAGAGAGCTGTGATAGGCAGTATGTAGAAGTGTGTTGGCCCAGACAGAGGCTGGAGGACCAGGGAGTTCGAGGCTGACCTGATGTGTCAGTTCTAAGCCCCACTATGCACATGGGTGAGGTACATAGTGAGACCCTTTCTCTGTCAGAAAGAAAATGTATCAAAGACATTGTTAATATTCAATCAATACCCAGGTAAGTCATCTTTTAAATAAAAGAACATTAAATAGCACTAATGTCGCCTTGTTCACTAAAAAATGTTTTGATTTTGGTGATGCTAACAATGAAAGTAATTATTTTTGGTTTCTTGAATTTGAATTTGTCCCATAAACAGTAGGAACATGGGGTTAGGAATCCAACTTAGAGCTTCAACGTGTGCCGATTTTATTGTGAACATACCGAGAGATAACCGATGGGAAAGAACTCTAAACTCCCCAAGTCCAATTTCTTGCTATGCTTTCATCTTTTATTATAATGAAACAAATTATTTTATCATATTTTTCCCTTTTCCGTTTTGAAAGATGACACTTTTGAGGTTTTAGCAAAACAGTTTGCCTAGCCACGTTTGTTTTATTTAGGATTTTCCATTAGGAAGGTGACCTCAAAATGTCTGTCATGTTAGATATATATATATATATATTTCTACTAAGCAGTCCAAACCAAAAAGAAATGAAATTCCTCTGCAATGGAGAGTTCTCAAGCGCCACGCCTACGGGCAGTTTTCCAATCTGCAACCTCCGGCCACGACTGCAGCCTGCAACCCCTCATTTCTCTTGAGCCGGTCGGCGCCATTTCTGGGATGACCGAGAAGGGCGCTCTGGCCCCGGGACGACGTCGACGGTACAGCCCTTCTAGCCGCCGGCAACTGGCGCTAGACTCTCTGGTAGGCGTTTGGAAATCTGCGCGGGAAGTGTGCGGTTAGATGACGTCGCGCCGGTGGGTTGGGCCAGGGCGCTGGCCAATCACCGGGCAGGGCTCCTAGGTCCCACCCTTTCCCGCCCCCCGCGTTTCCTCCGGCGTGTTTCCCGCCGCGAGCCACACTTTAAAGCTGTGAGGGGCGAGGCGGGGGCGGGGCTTCCTGCGCGCGATTTGGGTCAATCGGCGCGCTCCGAACTCTGAAAGACAGCTCCGGTAGCCAATCAGCGCATCGGCCCTCTTCCGGGATCCGCGTTCCCGCCACCCCGCCGGCGGCCGTTACTGGTGGCGCGCGCGCGGGGTTTCGTAGGTGAGTTCGGCCGCCCGCGCCCCGCTTACGTCCTCCATGCCTCCAGCGGGCCGGAGGGGCGTGCCTTAGGTGTCACTGGGCGGAGGTAATGTGCACTGCCCGTTTAGATCCTCGCGCTAATTATGGCCCCGGTGTAGGTTCGGTGACGCGGAGTCTTTAGGCCACGAGGGAACACACTCGCGCGTGGGTCAGATTGGAGCGAGAGTCGTAGGCATCGGCTGGGTTGACAGGACGGAGTTTCCTTCTTGGGGTTTCCTACTTTCCCTGTCAACGGTTTCCCCATGTGTGGCATCTTTATAGGTAAAACCTACCCATGCAATTTTGAATTTTTGTCTTTAATTTTTTTTTCCCTTAGTCTGGAGCTCTGGAGATGGAGCTCCCATGAGAGCAGGGTTTATTTTGGTTGAGGCTGTGTGCCAAACACCGCGAAAGGGACCAGGTGCCCATAATGTTGTAGAGAAGCTGGACCCCGGTGTGGGGGTGGGGAGATGCAGATACAGTCCCACCTGTTCCGATCTGGAGGGATTTGCGAAAGACGTGTTTGAATTTAATCCAAACAGTGTTGAGATCACGTAGGCTTTTGCCAAGGCGTTACCAGGATCCTTAAAACCCATCTGTGTCGTTTCTCATATGAAAAAATAATGGTTATATCTACAGGATTCTTCGGAAGAATAAATCAGTCATTCAACTTAAAGTATTAAAACAGTTTGACCCGGGCAAGGTGGCGCACGCCTTTAATTCCAGCACTCAGGCAGATCTCTTAGTTCAAGGCCAGCCTGGTCTTTGGAGTGAGTCCCAGGACAGCTAGGGCTACAGAGAAACCTGCCTTAGGGCTGGGGGGGGGGGGGTGGAAACAGTTTTTAACATACACACATCTCTATGTTGCATCTGTGGTTCTTTGCACTTTAAGCTGAGGTATACTGACAAGAGTATATAAACTATGGACTTTGTACAGTTCTCTGTGTCCTTAGTGGTTGGAAAAAATAGAAAACTATATTTCTTATAGCAATTTCTCAACACCACACTTAGACACAGGCGAGGCCTGGTTCTAAGGAAGGTGTCAGATCCCCTGGAACTTGAATTACAAACTTGTGAGCTATGTGGGTTTTGGGCACTGAACCCAGGTCCTCTTGAAGAGCATGTTGAACTCTTTCTTAACCACTGAGCCATCCCTTCAACCGCTAAACTTGCTTTTTTTTATTTTTATTTTTTGTTTTTTTGAGACACGGTTTCTCTGTAGCTTTGGAGCCTGTGCTGGAACTAGCTCTTGTAGTCCAGGCAGGCCTCGAACTCACAGAGATCCCCCTGCCTCTGCCTCCCAAGTGCTGGGATTAAAGGTGTGCCACCACCGCCCAGCTCATCTTGCTATTTTTTTTTAAAACAGGGTCTTGTTTGTTTTGAAGTGGGGTTTCTCTGTAGCCTTGGTTGTCCTGGAACTCATTCTGTAGATCAGGCAGGCCTCGAACTCACAGAGATCCTCCTGCCTCTGCCTCCCACATGCTGCAATTAAAGGCGTGTGCCACCTCCGTCCAACTTAAAAAAGGGTCTTAACATGTTGTCCGAGCGTACCTGGAGCTCCTGGACTCGGGCAGTTGCATTGCTTCAGCATGCTCAGTAGCTGGTGCTGTGGACTTATACCAGCTCAATCCAGTTTCTCATGCTCTTATATACTTTAAAGTCTAGCTCAATGGTAGAGCATTTGCCTTGTGTGAGGCCTAAGTTTAGTCTCTGGTACCTAACATCCCATAAAACACCCCTTTGTATGTAATGGTATTCTTGGACCTTAATTCTTTGTCATGACCAAAAGAATAAATATACACATATGTATCATTTGTTTCATTTTGGAGGATAAGGTCTTAGTACCCAAGGCTGGTTTCCACAGACAGGGTCTAACTACATAGACTGTAAATACAAGACTAACCTTGAACTCACAGAACTCTGGCTGCCTCTGCCTCTGCCTCCCAAGTGCTATGCCTGCTATACCACGTGTGCATCATCGTGCCTGGCTAAGTCTCCCAACTCTTCATTTTCCTGCCTCAGCACCCCATTACAGGGATTACAGACATATGGCAACATGTTTGAATCAAAGATTTTTGTTTGTTTTTAGACAGGGTTTCTGGGTGTAGCCCTGACTGTCCTGGAACCCACTATGTAGACTAGTCTAGCCTTGAACTTGGAGATCACCCATCTCTACCTCTCAAGTGCTGGGATTAAAGGGGTGTGCCATTTACTAACTAGCCCCCCCAAAAAGTGTGTTGTTTTTTTTAATTTTGTATTAGTAGTTTTAAGTGTTGAACATATGCCCTCAAATAGGCTAGCCAAACAGTTTACCACTGATATATTCTTACAATCTGCCCCCCCAGTATTTTTTTAAAATATTTATTTATTATGTATATAATATTTTGTCTGTGTGTATGCCTGAAGGCCAGAAGAGGGCACCAGACCTCATCACAGATGGTTGTGAGCCACCATGTGGTTGCTGGGAATTGAACTCAGGACCTTTGGAAGAGCAGGCAATGCTCTTAACCGCTGAGCCATCTCTCCAGCCCCCCCAGAATTTTTTTTTTTTTATTTTATTTATTTATTTATTATGTATATAATATTTTGTCTGTGTGTATGCCTGAAGGCCAGAAGAGGGCACCAGACCTCATCACAGATGGTTGTGAGCCACCATGTGGTTGCTGGGAATTGAACTCAGGACCTTTGGAAGAGCAGGCAATGCTCTTAACCGCTGAGCCATCTCTCCAGCCCCCCCAGAATTTTTACATACTTAAGAATGACTGACAGAAAAGCATCAGTCACCTCATGGTGGCTCCCATCTTTAATCCCAGCACTCAGTAGACAGAGACAGGTGGATCTTTTGAGTTTGAGGCCAGCCTGGTCTACAGAGTGAGTTCCAGGAGAGCCCTACATAGAGAAACTGTGTCTGTGGAAAAACAGAAAAAGAGAAAGAAAAGCACCATCTCCATATGTATCCAGGCTTACCTCCAGTTATGATTTTCTTTATAAGCGCTTATATAAACTAATGACAGGAACAATGATAATATGTTTTCTTTACAGATCATGGAAAACACCCAGGTTATTGACTGGGATGCTGAAGAAGAGGAGACAGAAATATCCAATGGGTCCCTGGGGTATAGCTTGGAGCCTATAGGGCGGCTACGTCTCTTCAGTAGTGCTCATGGACCAGAAAGAGGTCAGGGGATTGTTGGCAGCTGAAATATGAATATGGGTTTTTTTCTTTGCGTTAGAGGTTGTTGGATCATTGGTAGAACTTTATATGTTTCAAAAGGGATATGAATAATTATTCTTTTTTTTTTATTTATTTATTTTTTCCTGAGACAGGGTTTCTCTGTAGCTTTGGAGCCTGTCCTGGAACTAGCTCTTGTAAACCAGGCTGGCCTCAAACTCCCAGAGATCCGCCTGCCTCTGGCTCCTGAGTGCTGGGGATTAAAGACATGCGCCACCACCGCCCAGTGTGAATAATTCTACTAGGGATGGCAGAGAGGCCACGTGATTCAGGCTGGTGGCCTGCATTTTCTAAGAGTTGATTTTCTTTTGCTAGAAAATTAAGAACTTGAAATAAAAATGCAGTATGGGGGCTGAAGAGATGACTCAGTGGTTAGGGTACTTTCCTGCTCTTGTAGAGGACCTGGTTTACAGTCGGAGCACCCACATGATGGTCATATGTACCTGTAACTCCAGGGCGCCTACACAGACAGGGTGGACATACACTCATACAGGTGCACACAAATACATAATAAAGAAATTTCGTTTTTGTTTTTTGGGGTTTTTGTTTGTTTTTGTTTTTTGAGACAGGGTTTCTCTAGCTTTTAGAGCTACAGAGAAAAAACCCCGGCCAGGCATAAAATTTTTGAAAAATTAAAATACATTGTGGCCTAGAAATGGGTGTTGGTGATTGTGGAAGGACAATGGATATGTAATACAACTGAATGGTATATTCACAATGATTGAGATGCTTATATTTGTATTGTGTATGTTTTTGTTTTTCTATGTAGTTCTTTCTGTCCTGGACTCACTATGTAGACCAGCTTTAAACTCAGAGATCCACTTACCTCTGCCTCTCAAATGCTAGAATTAAAGGCCTGTGCCACTACGCCCAGCCGTATTGTGTATTTTATCCAACGGAAGACACCCCTTGGGCATGGTAGTGTCTGTGACTCTTGTATTGAGGGGGTGCATCTAGAGTTTGAGGGTAACCTAGACCACATAGTAAGTTTGAAACCAATCTGGGCTACATAATGAGACCCTGGATCAAAAACACAGCAAGGGCTGTAGTTCAGGGAAGAGTGCTTAGTTAGCATGCATAAAACTCTGTTTTCAAGTTTGAGCAATTAGAAAACAAGAATAGTTTGAGTAGATAAAATACTGCAGGTGAGTAATGATTGTAAGTGCTCTTTAGTCAGGTGGTGGTGGCACAAACCTGATTTTAATCCCAGCACTTAGGAGGCAGAGGCAGGCAGATCCCTGTGAGTTCGAGGCCAGCCTGGTCTACAGAGCTAGTTCCAGGACAGGCTCCAAAGCCACATAATGAAACCCTGTCTCACTCCCCCCCAAAAAAAAAAAAAAACAAAAATAAACAAACAAAAAACCCACTCTGACCAAAAGTAAATGTTCTCCTATGCTGGTTATTTTTTAATCCCTGTAAAAGCTTTGAGTGAATAGTAGGGTACCATCTTTAGGCCAGGACTCGTCTGATTTTAATATTTCTGTTTGACCTATTCTTTTATATTTCTTTTCACTCCTTAGATTTCCCTCTCTACCTTGGCAAGAATGTAGTTGGCAGAAGCCCTGACTGCTCTGTGACCCTGCCTTTTCCATCCATCTCTAAACAGCATGCTGTGATTGAGATCTCTGCTTACAACAAAGCCCCTATCCTCCAGGATTGTGGGAGCCTCAATGGCACTCAGCTCGTAATGCCCCCTAAGGTCCTAACCCCTGGAGTGAGCCATCGTCTGAAGGACCAGGAATTAATTCTGTTTGCAGACTTTCCCTGCCAATACCGTCGCCTGGATGTTCCTCCACCTTTGGTCTCTCGGGGATTTCTAACTATAGAAGGGACCCCCAGAACACAGGGAGAATCCCAGACCTCCCGAGTTTTGCTGGCTGAGGATTCAGAGGAGGAAGTGGGTAAGTTTGTGCCTTGGGAGTGTGTGTAAATAGACAGGGATGGAGATGTAAGCTTTCCATTTATTCCTTCCCGTTCCTGCCAGATTTTCCTTCTGGAAGGTGTGTGGCAAATGGATCAAGAAATCCAACATCCCCATCAGCAACAGTTGTTCCGGAGAGGTGAGTACCAAAGCACCAGATAACCGAGTCTTTCATTTTGTTTGGCAATCCTCTGGGTTCAGTTTGAGTATTGAGATAACAGGTTTGAGCCATCTTACCTGGTTTTAGACACCTGCACTTTTGAATAAGGAGTTAAAGTGTCAATCTTGAAGAGATGAGATGATTTTTTTTTTAAAGATTTATTTATTTATTATGTATACAGCGTTCTGTCTGCATGTATGTCACCAGATCTCATTACAGATGGTTGTGAGCCACCGTGTGGTTGCTGGGAATTGAACTCAGAATCTCTGGAAGAGCAGGCAGTGCTCTTAACCTCTGAGCCATCTCTCCAGCCTCCAAGATGATTCTCTTGAAAGGTGGAGCTAAGAGCCTAGGCATAATCATTTCCTCAGCTAAATTAAATTATGATGAGCATTTCTGGTATACTCGGTGGAGACAGGAAAAGCAGCTGCCAGCAGTAGCAGTGCCTGCTCTTATAGCACTCATGGAAGTCATCCTGTGGATTCTTTGTCTTTGCAGTGATGAAGAGGCATCTTCTCCAGCCCCGAGAGTCCCTGGGCTGTCTCTGCCCTTTGATGTGGGCAGTGACACAGATGAAGAGCAGGGTCAGCAGCCGGCAGTGGGGGGTTCCTCTTCAGCTAGGGCAGGTGCTGCTGCTGCAGAGGCTGAGCAGCCTGGAGTTAAAGGAATGACAGCTGGCATCCAGCTGGGACAGGCGCAGCCTACTGAGCCAAAGTTCAAGGACACGAAAGTCAAGAGTGAGGCTGGCAATGGAGCAGCTCAGGTTGGGTCAGTTCTGGAGAGGAGCCTCACTCTTGGGGAGGACAGTGACACAGATGTGGAAGGAGAGGGGGTTCCTATGACCCCATGTGTAGGTCCTGGGAAGAAGAAGCAAGCCCTGCTTGGAGTTGGTACAGGGGACCCTGGAGCACCTGGAGTGGGACATGTGCAGGGCAGCCCAGCCTCAGCTGTGGAGGAGGGCAGGGCGCCAGTGGCTGTCCCTTCCGAGACAAACCACACACCCATGGTGATTGACAGCGACACAGACGAGGATGGTGAAGTCTCAGCAGCACTCACCTTGGCCCATCTGAAAGAGAGGGGAATTACTTTGTGGAGCAGAGACTCGGGCATGGAAGACGTCAAGTCCCAACCCCAGGTCCTTGTAGAGCGAAGCCAGAGTGCCTCTGGAAGAGACAGTGACACAGACGTGGAGGAGGGAAAGAGAGAAATGGTCCCTGACAGCCCCATGGACACAGAGAGCCAGCCTCCCCATAGAGCCAGAGATGGAGGTGAGGATGTGGACATGAACTCCCCTGGTGGCCACCTAGAGGGAAATCAGGCCTCCTCTGCCACAGTAGACAACAATGCTACACAAGTGGAGGAGGAAGTCCCGCCAGAGCCAGCTGTTACCCTTGGGGAGAAGCACCAGCTGCCTCTAGAGGAAGCCCAGCCTTCTGAGGAGGCCTGGGAAGCAGCTGTGGGGGAAGGCTCCTCTTCAGCAGTGGCAGATGTAAGAAAGAGCCAGCAGCTGGTAGCAGAATATGCTGGGAGAGAGTGTGCCACAGCTGTTTCTGAGGCGGAGAGCACTCTTGAGGTGGGGGCCCAAAGCAGGTCACCTACTGCACCAGTGGAGCAGGTGGTGGTGTATACAGGTACTCGAGGGGATCCCACACAGCCACAGAGAGAGGGAGCACAAATGGGCAGAACCAAGACTGCCAAAGACTGCTCTGACGGTAAGTGCTGCCCTCTGCTCTGCCCTTGACCCTTGAAATAGGCTGTCTATAAGGTTAGAGGAGAACTGTAAAGGTCTTGAGGATGAGAGCTGATACTTTATCTGTCTTATATCTCTTCCCACAGAATCTGACGATCTGTGCCTTCCAGCTACCCAGTGCTTTGTAGAAAGGGAAAGCCAGAGCTCAGCAGGTGAGGACACTGTGGTGTTTGTAACTGAGTACAGCAGAAGCTGGTGATTAGACTGGTGGTCCTTGAAAGACTGTACGGCCTAGATGGGGAGTGGGGCCTGGTGTTCTGGGGGAGCTGTGTTCCAGCCATCTTTTCTTGTGCAGCTCAGAGTTTGGAAGATGAGCCTACCCAGGGCTTCCTATGTACTCTGCCCCAAGAGCCTGGGCCTTCCCATCTTAGCCTTCAGACTCCAGGTATAACAAAGTCTCTCTGAACCCTCAGCTTCGTATTCTTTCTTGTTTTCTTCCTCTACATCCTTTCATGGTCTGTCTTGTTGGGAACTGTGGACCCACAGACCCTGAATTTTCTGTAAACAACTTGTTTTCTTCTGCTTGCAGCTGCTTTGAACACAAGACAGGAGAGTGGTTTCTGGTGGGCTTGCCGCTGAGAGTTAGGGCATAGCCGTTTGTCAAGGAGACCCTACATAAGCTGCCCTGGAACACAATACAGTTGGCATTCTTGAGGCATTCGTGGTGTTCTTGTTTCAAGAGTGACGTGTGTGTGTGTGTGTGTGTGTGTGTGTGTGTGTGTGTTTCAGTCAGCAGCCCCTTGCCCAGCTCGCGAACCTTGCAGTAGTGCAGGCAGTATGCTACAGCCTTATTACTGTAGTACAAGAAGTACAGTCGCTACAGGACCATAGTACCACGTAGCACAGGAATTACAAGTCTTATTTTAGATTTATCTATTTTTATGTGTATGAGTGTTTGCTTGCATGTACTTACGTTCACCATGTGCATGCCTGCTGCTCACAGAGGTCAGGAGAGATTGTCTTATCCCTGGAACTGGAGTTAAGAACAGTAGTGAGAGTGTTCTTACTCAGGCGATGGTGGCGCACGCCTTTAATCCCAGCACTCGGAGGCAGAGGCAGGCGGATCTCTGTGAGTTCGAGGCCAGCCTGGTCTACAGAGCGAGTTCCAGGACAGGCTCCAAAGCCACAGAGAAACCCTATCTCGAAAAACCAAAAAAAAAAAAAAAAAAACAGTAGTGAGGTAGTGAGTCACCATGTGATTTCAGAACTGAACCCAGGTCCTCTGCTAGAGCAACCAGAACTATTAAATTCTGAGCCATCTCTCCAGCCCCTCATTCATTTTAATTTGTTTGTTTGTTTGGAGACAAAGAGTTCATACAGCTGAGGATGAGCTTGAACTTCTGGTCCTCCGAGTGGTGGGATTATAGGTGTGTGCCACCACATCCAGCCTAGGATGGACAGGGCTTCATGAGTGCTGGATAAGCTCTCCAGCAGCTGAGCTGCATCCCCAGCACCACCATTCATACTCTTGCTGTTCTACTGGTGCTCTCCATTTCATCAGGAGAAGGCATCCATAGCAGACATGTGATACACACTTGGGACGCAGAGGCAGGAGCTCAGAGCTAGCCTAAACTACATAGAAAGTACGTTAGACCTTGTCTCAAAAAAAGAAAAAAAAGATGGAGCTGGGGCAGTGCTGGCGCACACCTTTAATCCCAGCACTCGGGAGGCAGAGGCAAGCAGATCTCTATGAGTTTGAGGCCAGTTTAGCATACAGAGTGAGTTCCAGGACAGCCAGGGATACACAGAGAAACCCTGTCTGGGGGGCGGGGGAGGGGGGGTCAGGGAGATGGTCTAGAGAAATGGCTGAATGGTTAAGAGTGGCAGCTGTTCAGAGGACAAGAGTTCAGTTCTGGCTCCCATGTCAGGAGCTGACAACTGTACGCCCAGCTTCTGGAGATCCATGGGCACCCACACACATAATATACGCACATACATGTAAATAAAAATTTAAAAATACATCTTAAAAAATAAGACAATAAGCTGGGCAGTGATAGCACACGCCTTTAATCCCAGCACATGGGAGGTAGAGGCAGGCGGATCTCAGTAAATTTGAGGCCAGCCTGGTCTATAAAAACGAGTTTCAGGCCCGCCAGAACTGTTACACAGAGAAACCCTGTGTCAGAAAACAAAACAAAACAAGACAACAAATAAAAGCAGGTTACTGGGCCTTACCCTGATTCTAGTTCAGGAGATTTGGAATTGGCCCAGAAAGTCAATTTTCCCCTCTGCAGGGGAACTCGGGGCCTTATACATGCCCAGGAGTACTCTCCTTGGGCACATACCCAATCCTTGTTTTTCAGAGATTATAATCTCCTAAATAGCACGTAGTGTTTTAACTGCCACCCTATTCCAGGCTTGCCTTTAGTAACCCATTTAGCCATTTGTGAGTGTGCCCTAGCTCATTGCCTTATTGCCTTTAAAAAAAAACTTTAACTTTATTTTATGGGCATTTGTATAATGATGTCAGATTCTCTGGAACAGGAGTTATAGACAGCTGTGAGCTGCCTTTGTGGATGCTGGGAATTGAACCCGGGTCCCCTGGAAAAGCAATCAGTGCTCTTAACCATTGAGCCATCTCGCCAGCCCCTTATTGCCTCCTTTACCTGCATCCCCATCTCCTTTTTCTGATCCTCTCTAGGTGCAGGTGCCCTGGATGTGCCTTGGGAGGTTTTGGCTACACAGCCATTTTGTCTGAGAGAACCTGAGGCCTCGGAACCCCAGCTCATCGCCACCCACCTTGAAGCTCATGGATCTCCTCCATCTCTACCTAGTGCACCACCAGGACACCAGCATTTGGTTCACACAGAGCTGTCGGGAGTTCAAGGCAGAGAGATACAAACTATGGAGAAAGCCATGGGTATACCAAAGGAAACAGCAGACAGGGTGACCCCTGAGAGAGAGCCATTGGAAAGGAAAGTCAGGGAAAGAGCATCAGACAGTGAGAGAGAGGATGTGATGGGGGAGGAACTACCTCAGGTGACAGAGGACAGAGAGCCAAAGACGGTGCTGGTTAGAGACGGACAGGGACAGGAGTCTAACAAGGCGAAGGGTGGGGATCCTGAAGGAAATAGGGAGAGTTTGAAGGTAGAAATGGAGATGTCCAAAGACACACAGAAGAGAGAGAGAGAAATGGGGAAACCAGAACCAGAGAGAGAGTGGGAGCCAGCTGGTTTAGAAGTGAATCTAGATAGAGGGGTGGCTGAGGGAGGGAGCCATGATCAGAAAGAGCAGATTGCCAGTCCAACACTAAAGCCTGGACTTGGCATGGGGGACCTTGAGGGACTGACATCAGCCCCACCAGTCTGTGGGACCCAGGGAGATGGAGGAAAGGGAGACCCCGTGAGCCCCGGGAGGCAGCAGAGAGGTAAGTCAGGTCGTGGGAGGCAGTGTGCTGTGCAGCCCTCATGGCATTGGCCCTGCACTGCAGGCTGCACAGCACTCAGCCACTCCTGTTTCCACTCTCTGACTAGGCCGCTTGAGTTGCGAGATGATGTCTGCTGGAAAGGCTTCCGGGGTGAGCTAGCTCAGCTGCTTCTTGTCCTGCCCCTACTTCACAAGTCACCCCCAACCCTGGCAGCTTCTTTGTCTACCCAGCCTGCCTTTAATCTATTGCTGTTTTCTCACTGCATGTACATTTGTGCATGGCTAAGGGTGTGTGTTTGGGGAGGTGCATGAGGAAGCCAAGTAACAACCTGTATGGTGTTCATCAGGAACCACCCAACTTTTGGGAAGGGTGGGAGTCAGGACCTTGAGCTGGGTTAGAATCTGTTAAAGTAGACTAGGCTGCTTGGCCAGCAAGCTCCCAGAACCGTCCTGTCTCTACCCGCCTGGCTCTGGGATCGCAAGCTTACGTCACGATCCCTGACTTTTTTACATGGCTTCTGAAGCTCAGATTCAGATCCTAGTTGCTTGCCTTGGTTACTGAACTCTGCAGTCCCATGTTCTCCGTTTTCTTCATCACTCATTAGTTAATTCTGTTCCTGTTCCGCCACCCATTGTTCCCAAGTGGCCATTTTCCTTCTGCCCTCTTTGCCCACCCACCGGTGCAGAACACTGTACTGGAGTTATGAAGAAAGAGGCCTCTTATGGTATCCAAAAGATTGCTTCTTCTCCCAAGGAGTTCCTAGCCTAAAGAGAGGTCACAGGAAGAAGTGCCAGTGAGCATGTCATGACCATAAATAGAATCAAAGCCAGACATACTGACGGGCCTGTCATCCCTGTACTGGGCAGTAAAGGCAGGAAGATGAGTGGAGGGAGGACGCAGCAATCACATGAGGCCCTTCAGGAACCCTGAGAAAGATCAAGATTCATGCCCACCTCTTTCTTTTTTTAATTATTTTTATTTTATAATTCATTGGTGTTTTGCCTGCATGTATGTCTATGTGAGGGTGTCAGATCTTCTGGGAATGGAGTTACAAACAGGTATGAGCTGCCATGTGGGTGCTGGGAATTGAACTCAGGTCCTCTGGAAGAGCAGCTAGTGCTCTGAATCACTGAGCCATCTCTCCAGGCCCACTGACCTCTTTCTTGCTACCTTTTATCACTTGCCTCTCCTCCTCCTCAGGGTGATCCAGAACCCCCAGCCCATTGCCTGCTTTCTCCAGTGCCTGAAGCTTCAGCTCCACCTCAGAGTCTCCTCACCTCTCAGAGCCCAAAGCAGTCTCCACCTCCACCTTTGACGTCTTCCCCTTCTGAGCCACACCTTCCTGAGAGTCTTCACACAGAGCCTCATGTCAGGCCTCGGCGGTCCTCCAGGATGACCCCCTCATCCTCTGCTGCCCTTAAGCCTTACACTGCCTGCTCCACAGACCTGCCTGCTGCCCCCAGACCCACATCTCAGGTCATTCGGAACAGGGCAAATAAGTCCTCTGCCAGGACCCCAGAAGTGATTGTCCCTATAGACTCTGAGCTCCAGCCTCCCGCCTCCACAGAACAACCTGCCATCCCCAGACCCACATCTCAGGTCATTCAGGGCAGCACAGATAGTTCCTTTGATAAAACACCTGAATCCGTTCTCACAGGTCCCGAAATCCAGCCTCCCACCACAGAACAGCCTGTTACCCCAAACCCTACACCTCGGGCCACTCGGGGCAGGTCAAGTAGGTCTTCTGTCAAGACCCCAGAACTAAATGTTCCCACTAGCTCTGAACTCCAGCCTCCCACCTCCACAGAACAAGCTGTCATACCTAAACCCATATCTCGGGCCACCCGGGGCAGGGCACGTAAGTCTCCTATCAGGACCCCAGAACCAGTTGTCCCCACTGTTTCTGAAATTCAGCCTCCCACCTCCACAGAACAAGCTGTCATACCTAAACCCACATCTCGGGCCTCCCGGGGCAGGCCACGTAAGTCTATCAGGACCCCAGAACCAGTTGTCCCCACCGGTCCCGAACTCCAGCCTGTCATCTCCACAGAAGAGCCTGTCACCCCTAATCTCACATCTCAGTCCTCTCAGGGCAGGTCACGTAAGTCTGTCAGGACCCCAATTGTCCCCACTGGTCCTGAATTCCAGCCTGCCATCTCCACAGAACAGCCTGTCACTCCTGAGCTCTCATCTCAGGGAAGGGCACGTAGGTCTTCTGTCAGAACTGAAGCCAGCATCTCCACAGCCCCTGAACTTAAGCCTTTCACATCTAGAAAACCTCCTGCCCCCAAGCCCACAGCTCTGGGCACTCGGGGAAGGACATGTAAGCCCTCCATTGAGGAGTGTAAATCAGTTGAACCAGTAGCCCCTAATTTTGATCCTCCCATCTCCACAGACCATCTTGTTACCCCTGAGGTGACAGATCAGAGCATAACACTAAAGTCTTCACCACTAAGTGCTTCCACAGTGTCCACTACCCCTGAACTGGAACCTGGTCCCCCGGAGCCCGTTCCTCAAGGCAGTCGCCGAAGGAGGCGCAAGGCTGTGGGGAAACAGGGCTCCCAAATAGTTCCCATTGACCATGAGCCTTACTCTGCACCCTCTAAACCCGAATCCCAGCCTTCAACCAACCAAAGTTCAGGGACATTAGAAGAAGCTGAGTTGATTACAGTTGCTCCTGAGGCTGCCATTGCTCAGGTTCCAGAGACCCCCCCTCACATTCCTCTGATGCAAAAGGAAGCAGCTGGGAGATCAGGGCTCACTCCCAAACCCCAGCCTGAGGCCTCTCGAGTCCACAAGGAGCCCTCCACTACCACAGACTCACCACTTCAGAAACGTCCCCGAAGACAAGTTCCCCAGATGACCATCGTCCCCAAGGAAGAAGATCCTCCAGAAATGCCAGTGAAGGAAGAGGTAAGAGTCAGCTAGGGCCACCTAGCTAGGAGCAAAAGCTACAGGACTCAAATGCCCACTGATAGGATTTTCAGCCTCAGGAGAGAGCAATTCCGGTACCAGGCAAGAGAAAGAGGGGCCGTGCAGAAGATGAGACCCAGGGAAACCCAAGTCGAAGCCGGCGGGCTAAACCTAACCAAGAAGCAGTAGCTCCCAAGGTAGGAAACCAGGGCTGAGGGCTGAGGTGAGTGCAGCTGATGTGGGTGCTGTGACCATCTTCACACCGTCCCCTAGGTCCTCTTCACAGGAGTCGTGGATTCTCGTGGAGAGCGTGCAGTCCTGGCTCTGGGAGGCAGTCTGGCCAGCTCAGTAAATGAGGCCTCTCACCTGGTCACCGATCGCATCCGCAGGACAGTCAAGTTCTTGTGTGCTCTGGGGAAGGGTATCCCCATCCTCTCCCTGAACTGGCTGTATCAGGTAAGAAGATGGTGCGTAAGGAAAGACTGCTCACCTACCCTCAGGAAGCAGTAACAGGAGCGGAGGTGGGGAATGGCGTGTTAGTGAGGCAGAGGCTGCTTTGAAGAGGTTTATTGTAAGGGCCTGAATGACTCGGTGGTAGCGCACTTGCCCAGAGTGCTTGAAGTCTTGGGTGAGTCCTCAGCACTGGGAAGGAGAAAGAAAACATAATGAGTTCTCTTCAGATGAACCGTTGTTCTGCCTGTTCTTCCCCTTAGTCCAGAAAGGCTGGTCACTTCTTGCCGCCTGATGACTACTTGGTGACTGATCCTGAACAAGAGAAGAATTTTAGCTTCAGCCTTCGGGATGCCCTGAGCCGGGCTCGGGAACGGAAACTACTGGAGGTGAGGGGCTGCCTTCTGCAACATGCCTCAGTCCTGCCCAGTGGTCTTCGCCTCTCAGTGCAGACACCTGTCTCCACCTCTCCTCTTTGTTAGGGCTATGAGATTCATGTGACCCCTCGCGTGCAGCCACCTCCAGCTCAGATGGCAGAGATCATTGGCTGCTGTGGAGGCACCGTCCTGCCCAGCATGCCCCATTCCTACAAGGTATGATGGGCGGGCGTGTGCACAGCCTGAGGGGGGACAGCTAGGAGGTGGTGGGGATGAGGACAGGGTGGAGACAAAGGCTGACAGGAGTGAGGGAGAGAGCTGCTGGCACCAGGGATATATACTCATAAAACAGCAGCCTGGACTGCGCGTGACTGTTCCCCCACCCAAATTGTTTTTTAAGATCTATATTATGCACAGAGAATAGGGGCCATCATATGAGTGCTGGAAACTAAATCTGTTATTGCGAACCATCTCTCCAGCCCCCGTTTTTTTAATTAAAAAAAAATCCATATACTTTGTGTCCATATTCAGCAGTTTTGATTATGTATCCTAAAAATTTAAAGTCTGTAATCAGGGTGGCCTCAATCTAGCATCAGCCCCTTACACTTAACCCAGCAGTTCTGACACTGCTGGAGGGTTTTTTGGTTTGGTTTTGGTGGGAGGTTTTTTTTTTTTTTTTTTTTTTTTTCCCCCCGAGACATGGTTTGTCTGTAGCTTTGGAGCCTGTCCTGGACTAGTTCTGTAGACCAGGCTGGCCTCAAACTCACAGAGATCCTCCTGGCTCTGCCTCCTGAGTGCTGGGATTAAAGGCGTGCGCCACCACCGCCCGGCTTGGTATATGCAAATTATAATTATAAAAACAGCAATGGGGGCTCACATGGCAGCTGCTTGCCTAGGTAGCATATATAGCAGCTCTGGGTTTGACGCCTAGCACACGTAAACTGGCCTGTAATCTTAGCATCTGAGGTAGAGGCAAGAAGACCAGAAGTTCAACTTCATCTTTAGCTACAAAGTAAATTTCAGGCCAGCTCAGTATGAAACCGCTTTTCAAAAAAGAAAGTGGGGGCTGGAGAGATGGCTCAGCAGTTAAGAGCACTGGCTGCTCTTCCAAAGGTCCTGAGTTCAATTCCCAGCAACCACATGGTGGCTCACAACCATCTGTGGTGAGATCTGTGCCCTCTTCTGGCCTGCAGGCAGAGTACTGAGAATACTGTATACATAATAAATAAATAAATCTTTAAAAAAAAAAAAAGAAAGAAAGAAAGTGGAAGGTAGGCTGATCTGTTTTGAGTTAACCTTTGGGGCAAGAATACTTGATAGGCAGGGCAGTGTACTTCATGTATGCTTTGTGTGTTTGTGCGTGCATGTCTGTGTGTATGACTGTAGATATATATAGTCTCGGTTCTGAGGCTGCTTAGGGCTTCCTGATCTGTTCTAGGTTCCTTCCTTCCTAACTCTGTCTCTTCTGCCCCTCACAGCCTCAGCGAGTTGTCGTGACCTGCACTGAAGACCTTCCTCGCTGTGCTGTCCCCTCTCGCCTGGGGCTGCCCCTCCTCTCTTCTGAGTTCCTCCTGACTGGAGTGCTGAAGCAGGAAGCCACACCAGAGGCCTTTGTCCTCTCCAATTTAGAAATGTTATCTTCCTAAAAAATACAAATCTACCAGCAAACACTCCTAGAAAACACTTGGAAAGGAAACATAAATACACAATTAAGACCCAGCAAGGTAGTCCACACCTTTAATCTGAGCATTTGAGAGGCAGAGGTAGGCAGATTTTTGTGAGTTCCAGGCCAGCCAGGGCTACATAATAAGATCCTTTTTCAAAAAACAAACAAACAAACAAAAAACCCTCAGGCCTTCACAAAGACCTAAGATATTGGGAATGTATGGGTAAGGCCACAGAGCTTTTGAAAAAGAAAAAAATAAAAAAGGACTTTTTACCTAAGATGTCCAGTTTTAAATTGTCCAAACCCAAGCTGGGGGTAGTTGTGTGGCAGAGCACTTGCCATCGTGGTGAGGGCCCTGCTTCAGTCAGCAGCCTGCAGCTGCTCTGGTGAAACTGCTGTTCCAGGCCCAGCACCCTGGTGGGCCCCATCTTTGGAAGCTGTCACTTCCCTTTTCTTCCCAGGATTCTTGTTTGTTTTGTTTTGTTTTAGACAGGGTTTCACTGTAGCTTTTGGAGCCTGTCCTGGAACTAGTTCTTGTAGACCAGGCTGGCCTCGAACTCACGGACATCCCCCTGCCTCCCGAGTGCTGGAATTAAAGGCGTGTGCCACCAGCGCCTGGCTCTTCCCAGGATTCTTAGTTTACTAAGTAAAGCAGCTCCCAGGAGTGCCTGACTGAGAAGATGCAGGTGGCTCACGGCATGTTTTCTGGTCTGTGACTGGCCCGGTTAGAAAGGGTGTTCATGTGCTTTTGCAATGCTTGCTGTTAGCTGTGGTCGTCTCTGTAGGTCGGCGCTCACGCAGCCTGCCTGATGGCGAGTTTCTGGTGTGGCAACACAGACAGTCTGAACTTGCACTCCTTTACCAGCATCGATTTAGAGCAAATTATATTTGTTTTTAAGAGTTGGCCACTTTCCAAGATGTGGAGAGCATAGAACTCTTGGGCACTGCTAGTATTTGGTTTAGCCTCCGCAATGAACAGTTGAAAAGTTCCTTTAAAGTTGAGGGCAAAGTTAGTCACTCGCGCAGTTCCTGTAATCCCACTACTTAGGAGGTTTGAAGCAGGAAGTTCACAAATTCCAGTTCAGACTGGGCTACAGAGTAAAACCCCTGCCTTGAAAAGTTTTTTTTTTTTTTTATGTTTTTTTGTGGTTAGGTTTCATAATTTTTACGGTAGGTCAGTATTCATTTGACCTACCTACTTACCATATGACCAGCAATGCCGTTCTTTCTCCTGTTGGGAAATTCTATACTTGACCTCTAATCTGAACAGTCCAGGTAGAGGCCAGTGGGATCAGAAGTTCAAGGTCTGAGAGCCCACTCTAAAACTACAAGACTCAACAGTGGAAAACAGGCACTTGATAAATGTTTTGGGTTTTTTTGGGTGGGGCTTTTTTTTCTTTATGCTTGATAAGCAATGATTTTGCCGCTATGCCTCATTCCCAGTTCCCTCTTACTTTTCATAATAGATAAATACAGAAATAGTATAGATGACTGGGTAGTGTTAACACACACCTTTTATTACAGCACTTGGGAGGCAGAGGCAGGTAGATCCCTGAGTTCGAGGCCAGCCTGGTCTACAGAGCTAGTTCCAAGACAGCCAAAGAGGGCTGTTAGAGAAACCCTGTATTGAAAAACCAAAAAGAGAAACTGTAGATGTTTGTCCAGCAAAGATGAAACATGCTGTGTGTACAAAAAGGAATGCTCAGACATGAAGTAAAATCCCATATCTGATGAGTGTCAAGAACACCCTAAGTAAAAGAAGCAGACATTTGATTCTACCTGTGTGATAATATCCAGGATGGGTGAATGCACCAAGTTAAGAGTACATCAATGCATCCCAGACTCCAAGGACGGGGGAGTTTCACTGTGGGAGCCAGAAAGAGGAAGTAGTTGTACATAGTGCAGAATATTAAATGCTACTGTACTAAATGCTTCTTTGCTACATGAATTTCATTTCAATAAAAACATAGTTGCTAGCTTTGTATACTTTTCTGCTGTGAACTGTGTTAGAAAACTACCTTGGTGGAGTATATATAGCCTGCTTTCTCTCCGTGTGGTAGGCGTCATTTTGGGCCCTGCTCTCGCTAGGCAATTGCTTTACAACTCATTTATACCCCATGTATATGCTGAAACTTTATGATTTTTCTTTGGGGGGGTGCTGGGGGTTGAATCTAAGGTAAGGCTTGCAGCAATACTGTTCAAGTAAATGCTTCACCACTAAACTGTAGCCCCGGACCTTTGTTAATATGGTGCCTGTGGAAACCGGAAGTCAGCCTTAAATGTCCTTCCTCAGAAGTCCATTTTTTTCTTTGAGACAGGGTATCTCACTGGGACTTGAAGCTCCTGATTAGGCTAGGCTGGCTAGGCCAGTGAGCCCTAGGCATCTGCCCTTCTAGGTCTTTTTTGTAAAAAAAAAAAAAAAAACCTTTATTTAATTATTATGTATACAATATTCTGTCTGTGTGTATTGTGTGTATGCCCACAGGCCAGAAGAGGGCACCAGACCCCATTACAGATGGTTGTGAGCCACCATGTGGTTGCTGGGAATTGAACTCAGAACCTTTGGAAGAGCAGGCAGTGCTCTTAACCTCTGAGCCATCTCTCCAGCCCCGCCCCTTCTAGGTCTTGAATTATGAAGGTTTTTAAGGGTGAAGCAGGATAAAGAGAAACCGCAAAGCTTAGTGCAATCCTCGTTTTCCACCTACAAGCCCTTCTGGGACCGCCCAGAGCTAGAACAGTGGAGTTAGACTGTGGTGCTCCGGTGCAATCCTGGCACTTGGCGGCAGAGGCAGGAACATCAATCAGCTCAAGACTATTCTCAGCTACATAATTGCCAAGTTCGACGCCAGCTTGGGCTACATGAAGATTCTGCTATTTAAATAAGTGGAGAGAGCAGTATGCAGACAGAACCTCCTCAAAACTCAAAAAGACATATCTCGGACGCAGCCCACTCAGTACAAATTTCCCAAGCCGAGCGCAGGGTGGGGAGGAAATGCGCTTTACAATGCATGGCGGTTTGATCCAGAGGCTGTGGGAGCGCCCAGGCTGGGTGCTGCTAGGCTGTTCCTCTATCCCTCAACTTGAGGGCCTTGCCTTGGCTTGTCTTGGGTATTTTTATCTCCCTGGCCCTGCTCGATCTGTAAACTAAAGGAATAAGTTCGTGTCTTCTGAGGACCATGTACTCGGATAGCTACAGTTGGGACAGATCCTTTGACCACCTGGTCTTTTTTTATTTCTTATGGCCCTTTTGGACCGGGTCTCCATGTGCAGTCTAAGCTAACTTCAAATCTCCCTGCCTCAGCCTTCTGAGTACTGGAATTACAGGCACAAACCATCACGAACAGCTCTAAAACGACCACTAAACAAAAATCTATGTTGGGCGTGGTGGGGCCGCCTGCAACCCCAGCAGACCTGGGACTGGGGTCTGGTTTGCACGCAAGGGAGGCTCTGTCTTCACTTTCCACTCCACATGAACACCGGCAGCACTGAGGTTCGACCCACGCGGGTGGCTGCAGAGCCGCTGCCCTGACGACGACTAGGGTTCCAGGCTCCGCGCTATGACGCGCCTCTCGCGGTCCCCGCCCTGAGGCCAGCACCCCACGAAGGCGGGACCTGGGCGGGGCCAGCAGCCGCGGGAACCCCGAGCCCGCCTCCTCCGCAAGCTCCTAGGCGCTCGCCATGGCCCCGGCGCTGCTGCTGGTCCCGGCGGCCCTCGCCTCCTTCATCCTGGCCTTTGGCACCGGAGTGGAGTTCGTGCGCTTCACCTCCCTGCGGCCGCTGCTTGGAGGGATCCCGGAGTCCGGTGGTCCGGGTGAGCCGCAGCGGAGAGGAGGAGCCAGCGCAGCGTGGAGAGGGCGGGGCGTGGAAACAAATGACAGGGAAAGGCCAAAACTGTGAGGCGCCAACGGGAAGGGAACAGAAGGCTAAATCAGAAACTCCAAGATTAGTCCTGTGTAGAAGCTGGGGAGTGAGGACTGACCGAGTAAGGGCGTGGTGGGGGTAGCGTTTGTCGGGAGAAGTAGGAACGGGAAAAGATGAAAGGAGGAAACATTAGAAAACCGCGACAGTGGGCCCGTGGTAGCTCACACCTTTAATCCTAGCATTCCAGAGGCAGAGGCAAGGCGATCTCTCAGTTCAAGGCCCGCCTGGTCTATTGAGTAAGGGTTATGTATGTAAAGAGACCCTGTCTCAGAAAAACAAAAAAGAAAACTACACCAAAGGCGATTTCTCTAACCTTGCTCTCTGTGTGTGTGTGTGTGTGTGTGTGTGTGTATGTGAGAGAGAGAGCGAGAGAGAGAGAGCGAGAGAGAGAGAGCGAGAGAGAGAGAGAGAGAATATGTGGAGTGTGTGCTTGTGTTTCTGTTTGTGTGTGTGCAGGTGCAGCTGAAGGGAGCCTTGAGTGTCTGTCTTCAGGGTCTAGCCACCTTATTTTAGACAGGGTCTTACTATGTACCCTCAGCTGGCTTGGAACTCAAAGGTCCACCTGCCTCCGTCTCCCATGTATTTTGGGGACAGATTCTGTCACTGACACCAGAAGCCTATCAACTAGGTCAGATGGGTCCCATGGATCTGGGGTTATAGATGGTTGTGAGCTGCTATGTGGGTGCTGAGAAACGAATTGGTTCCTCCGGAAGAACAGCAAGTGTTCTTAACCGCCAATCCATGACACCAGCCCCTCTGGAGTTCTCCTGCCTCTGCCTCCCCAGCACTGAGATTATCGGCATACCCCACCGTGCCAGGCTTTTTGCAGGGGTGCCAGGGATCGAATTCAGGTGCTTACATAGCACTACATGGACTGAACCATCTCTCCAGCACTCCCGCAATGGTTTTAATAATGACCCTGCCGGCATTCTAAGAATCTTCTCCAGAAGAAGGCTAGAGAAGATGGGAGATTGAAGGAACAGGAAATTGAACTGGGCTTGGCCTTGACAAGATCTTGAAAACTTCAGGGACATGGAATAGGGCTCCAAAAGAAGATGAGGGTAAGGGGAATGTTCTAGCCTTAACTGATCCTTTGTCCCTGTCTTCCCTAACCAACTCCCTCAGATGCCCGCTATGGGTGGTTGGCTGCTTTGCAGGACCGAAGTGTTCTTACCTCCCTGGCTTGGGATCTTGGGCTTCTGCTATTGTTTGTGGTGCAACATAGCCTCATGGCAACTGAGACAGTGAAGGCGTGGACATCCCGGTACTTTGGAGTCCTTCAGAGGTCACTGTACGTGGCCTGCACTGCGCTGGCCTTGCAGGTATGAGGCCTTGGCCACGGGAGACATAATTCGTGGCGTGCTTACACTAGAGGGACAAGACGAGTGTGTGAGAAAGCAGAAGATGCGAATCTCAGCTCCCATCCCCCAGAGCACATGCTCCATTCATCAGCAGAGTCCTGTTTCTGACATTCCCCAGCACAGCCTGAGGAGTCTCACCCTTGCAACTTTGTTCATGTTGTCTTGCTTCAATTTGTTTCTTTGTTTCTCTGCATATCCCTGGGTGTCCTGAAACTCCCTCCTGCCTCCTTGAGATCCACCTGCCTCCGCTTCCTGAGTGCTGGGATTAAAAGCCTGCGCCACCACTGCCTGGCTTGCTTCAAATCTTAAATCCTTCTTAGTTCCCGTCTTCCAAACCTAGGTCTTCAAGAGAAGACGCCTTCCAATTAGTCTTCTCATTGGGTGTTTGTCATAGGCTAGTTTGGTAGGCATCCAGCAGCCCCCCATCCCATCCGTTTTCTAAATCCTGTATAGAAATGGATCATCCTCATATCCTCCATACCCCATCCCGAGCTCTCTTCATGATAAATATTTACTGTTTATACTCAGAGGAAAGAGCGGTAGGTTACTGTGGAGCCAGGGAGATCACTGGCATGCTTGGTTTCTCATCTTTCCCCAGCTGGTGATGCGGTACTGGGAGACTGTACCCAGGGGCCCAGTGTTGTGGGAGGCTCGAGCTGAACCTTGGGCCACCTGGGTGCCCCTCCTCTGCTTTGTGCTCCACGTCATTTCCTGGCTCCTCATCTTCAGCATCCTTCTGGTCTTTGACTACGCTGAACTCATGGGCCTCAAACAGGTGAGGATCCCACATCCCTGCCTGAGTCTACCATTCTCCCCCTCCCATACTCTGATTGCTCCTGGCTCTCTAGTCCCTTGCCTCCTTTTCTGATCGTCGCTGGGCTTGAGGAGGATGCCTGGGCCAGAGGCTCTGGCTTGATTTCCGGGCTCTTCCCTCTCTCCTAGGTATATTACCACGTACTAGGACTGGGTGAGCCGCTGGCTCTGAAGTCTCCTCGGGCTCTGAGGCTCTTTTCCCACCTTCGACACCCAGTATGTGTGGAACTTCTAACGGTGCTGTGGGTGGTTCCCACCCTGGGCACTGACCGCCTCCTCCTGGCTCTTCTCCTTACCCTCTACCTTGGCTTGGCTCACGGGCTTGACCAGCAAGATCTCCGCTACCTTCGGTCTCAGTTACAAAGAAAACTCCAGCTTCTCTCCAGACCCCAGGACGGGGAAGCAGAGTGAGGAGCTAGCTCCATTTCTAGGGCCTGTTCTTCCTCAAAAATCAAAAATCCCTTAGCTTCCAGACCGTTTGATACAGACCAGAAGCTGGAAACCATGTGCTGAAGGGGCTGACTGTCACTTCCCTGCTTGAGACCTCAGTTCCAGGGTCCAGATCCCCTACTCTAAATTTAGAGTTTCAGTCACTGGCCTCCAGGGTCCATTTCTCACCAACCAAGAGTGGGTACAAAGTCATGTCATCTTTTGGGGTTAACACAAGGCCTTGAGCACTCCCTCCTCTGGTACTTTATTGGTTCTGCACCTCAGGGATCCCCTTCCTAGTTTCCACTTCAAGAGCTATGCCAGGGCCAGCCAGCAAGTTTGCAGGTAGTGTATATCTCTTCCCCTACCTGCAAGGAGTACCTGCGTCTTCCCCACTCCTGCCATCATTTCTCCACCTCCTTATGGGTCCTGCCCTACAGATCCTAGGTGTCTCCTTTTACTCGGTCTCCTACCGCGGTGTCTCCCGTTTTTAACTCGGGCTGACTCAGGGCTCCCTGCTCTCTCAAAGGATATGCGCTGCAGAAAAATTAAAAGTTTCTACGTATGGTACCCAGTTGTCTGTCCATGTCTTTCAAGCCGCCGGACCAAGTGTGGGATGGAAGCTGAGGCCAAGTTCTTGTGGCAGCAGCCTCTGACGACCTGGGGTGGGGCCACACCCCACGGGCCCGCCCCCATGTCCCAGTCACCCAGTCCTGCTTCTTCCAAATATTACAGTTTCTCCGCGTAGAGATCAGGGAACCCATGGGAGACAGAGTATCTCTGGGAGGGGAGCGAACTCCCAAAGCCATTTTTCCTCAGACTCTGGGGCCTGGCAGCCGCCCACACCACCACGGTAACAAAGACTGGCCAGGGAAAGCAAAAGCACGGGGAGGGGCGGCGAGTGATGGGAAGGGCGGGTCTGACTCCAAGCAGCTGCCGCTTCCTCCCCATGTCCCTCAGGGGGCCTGAGTCACGGGCCGCCGCCCCGGGTCGGCCAGCTGGAGCGATAGGTCTGGACACCCAGCTTCTCCAGGGCTGCCAGGAAGTGGGTGAGGGCCTCTGGAGACAGAAAACGAAGAGCTGTGGATTGCCACTGCAAGAGAGGAGTGCCACCAGAGTCCACGCGGGAAGGAGGGCAGCGAAGCCCCGCCCTTCGCCCGGCTCCTCCCTGCGCCCCCTTCCCTCGCCCCATTGTCCGTAGACAAAGCGGTCGCCGCCCCCGCCTGGCCCCCGTCTGAGTCTTCGTCCCTCCTCCTAGGCGCCCTCTTCCCTCCTCCTCTGCTTCCCACCCTCCCTCCAGATCTTCCTTTGACTCTGACTCTCTCCTCTTCCGACGCCTGGCTCCACCGCACCTCCTCCTAGGGACCACAAGGCGTGTAAGTTGACTGTGGGGCTCCCACTTTAAGGGAAGTGTCTCCTGATCTCCCTTGGAGTGCCTCCCCTTTGTGCAGAGATTGCAAGTCCGTGCAGTTCCCGCGGGTGCATGGCCCTCTGGGTCAAGATCCCCCTGAGAGCGGGGTCCCTGGTTGGGGACAGCAGAGGCATGAAGCGGGTCCTCCGAGCGTCCGGGTCCTAGGGCGTAGTTGGTGGGGAGGCAGGCGAGGTTGAAGGGACTGGACTCGGGTGGACGCCAGAGTTCTGAGAATGCGTAGGCAGCACACCCGCTCGGGTACCAAAAGTCCCCGAGGAGGGTATTTCCCCTGACCCGCCTCTGGGGCGGAGTACGCGGTGGGGTGGGGGCCGGACTGAGGGGCGGGGCCGAGCGCAGCCGGGAAGGCAGCCGGGACCTGCGGGGCCCGTGCGAAGAGGCGCCCGCTCCCTTGCCGGCTTTCCGCTCTCCCCTTCTCCCCCGGACCTCTGCCCTCTACATCTATCCTCACCTTCTCACACCCCCTCCGACCCCTCCGCCCCCTCGCCAGCCGGTTCCCTGTTCTTCCTTCCCACTTACCTCCCCTGGGTACCGGGGGTAGGCAGCCTCGATTGAACCCGCTCACTTCTCAGCCCCAGTTCCCCCCCCCCCCCTCCTCCCTCTCTCTCTCTCTCTCTCTCTCTCTCTCTCTCTCTCTCTCTCTCTCTCTCTCTCTCTCTCTCTCTCTCTCCTGCTTTTCCTTCCCTCTCTTTCTCATACCTTAGGGACTGTCTAGTGCCTACAAACCCCCAATCTGGCGCTGCCTCTGCCCGGAATCTCGACTCTACCTCTCCCATTATCCCCACCCCCAACTTGGTACCCAGCTTTTCTCTTCACTTTTTTAGCTCTCGCCTCTTCTGCCCTCCCTCCTCTCCCTGTTCCCCTCTATCTTCATCCTTAGTTCCACTGTCCTCGGTTCTTAATCTCTTCCCGCATCACTTCCTCCTCTCCTACCCCCATTCTCAATCCCCGGGCCCCTCTGAAACCTACCCTTCCTGTTCCTGTCCCCCAGTGCTCTCTCCTTCACTTCCAGTGACCATGACTGCTATCCCAGATTGGAAGCTACAGTTGCTAGCCCGGCGGCGGCAGGAGGAGGCAGCAGTTCGTGGCCGTGAGAAAGCAGAACGGGATCGCTTGTCCCAGATGCCAGCCTGGAAGCGGGGAATCCTGGAACGTCGCAAGGCCAAGTTGGGCCTGCCTCCTGGAGAGGCGAGCCCTGTGCCTGGGACCGCAGAGGCTGGACCTCCGGACCCAGATGAATCCGCTGTCCTCTTGGAGGCTATTGGGCCAGTACATCAGAACCGATTCATCCAGCAGGAGCGACAGCGGCAGCAGCAGCAGCGAAATGAAGTATTTGCTGCTGATAGGAAGCCTGGGCCTCTGGAGGCTCTAGATCGGAGATCAAGTCCTAGTAATTTAAGAGAGCAGAGCCCCAAGGGAAGAGAGTCAAGAGAAGAGAGGCTAAGTCCCAGGGAGGCCAGAGATAAGAGGCTGTTGACAGGGGGAGCCCAAGAGTCATGTTCCAGGACTTCGGACGCTCGAGACTGGAGGCAGAGCCCTGCAGAGGCTCAGAAATGGAGGCTGAGCCCTGGAGAAACTCCAGAGGAGAGTCTGAGATTAGCAAGTCCCGGAGACGACAGTCCCAAGAGAAAAGAGGTATTGGAAAGCAGACTGAGCCCCGGGGAATCTGGCGACCAGAGGGCCTGCCTGACAGAGGCCCATAAATGGAACCTTGACCCGAAAGAACCCCAGGAACAGAGCTCAATACAGCTGGAGGCCACAGAGTGGAGGCTGAACTCAAGAGACGAGGGGAAAGACTACTTGGAGGAGTGTGGGAGAAAGGAAGAAAAACCGAGTCCAGGGATTGTCCTAGACCAGTCTCCAGTGACAAAAGAAGGCCAAGACACCATCTCTGGAGAAGTGGAGACTTCTGCTGAGCAGAGACCTAGCCCTGTGGAGGATGGAGACAGGATCTCAAGACCCACAGAAGGCTGGAAATGGACCTTAAACTCTGGGAAAGCCCGAGAACGGGATATAGAGACACGAACTCAGAAACCGGATCCTCCAGCATCTTCAGAGAAGCACCTGGGGCCTTCTGGTTTCGAGGCTGAAGAGGAGGCTAAGAAGGAGGAGGCGGGGGCTCAGAGCAGGCCTCTGAGGGCCCAGCAGAACCTCCGCTCTGGGCCCTCCCCCCTTCCACCAGAGCACGCTGGGGCTGGGACGGAAGGCTCCAGACAGCAGGAAGAGGAAGCAGCAGAACCCCGGCCCCCAACGACAGCCCCTCTGTCTCCCCCACCCCCAGCCCCAACTGCCCCCCAGCCCCCTGGGGATCCCCTCATGAGCCGTCTGTTCTATGGGGTGAAGGCAGGACCGGGGGTGGGGGCCCCCCGCCGTAGCGGACACACCTTCACTGTCAACCCACGGAGGTGTGTGCCCCCTGCCAGCCCAGCCCCACCAGCCACCCCAGCTACAGCTGATGCTGCAGGGCCTGGATCCGGGAAGAAGCGGTACCCAACTGCTGAGGAGATCTTGGTGCTGGGGGGCTACCTCCGTCTCAGCCGCAGCTGCCTTGTCAAGGGGTCCCCTGAAAGACATCACAAACAGGTAGGAAAGCTGCCACGCCTGACTGCGTAGATGTCTCCTTCTAGCTCTGACTGGATGGCTTTTTAAATGTTCCTTTCTTCTACTCTTTTTACTCCTGCCACCTCCCTTCCTCCCTCTGCACACACACCCTTCCTCCGGCTATCCCTCCTTTCCATTCATTTCAGAGCACCAAGGAGTCTGCCCAGCAGTCAACAGCTGTGTTGGGGTGTGTGGTTTTCAGGGTGTGTCCGGCCCTGGTCCTTCTCCCTCCCTCATGCTCAGTCCTCCTTTTCCTTTTGAGCTTTTGATCCAGGCAAGCCTGGCTGGTAGGAGAGATGTGACTACCTTTGTGAAAACGGGGTGAACATACCCGGGAGGGCAGGGAATGTTGAGGCAAGAAGTTCAGGGAAGTTGGGATGAGCGTCTCAGCCCCACGGAAGAGGAGACCAGATCTACCCGAGGACATCCCAGGACAGAGGGGCGAGTGAGATGGAGCTGAGCTGGCTGAAGAGCAGAGAAGAGGCTTTTAGACCCCAAGTCAGCCCCCCACTCCCCACCCCCCGGAGAGGCATACAGAGACCATTTGAAGTGGGTGACCTCGGGGTTGCCTGTTCCCCCCAACTGGGCAAATGTTAGACAGTGCTTTCCTTTTCTCTGGGGACAAGCAAAGCCTTCTCCTCTTCCAAAATATCCCAGTCCCTTCCCCCGTCTTTCCTCCCTGGGCTTCCCTTCCCCCACAGAACTGGCTCAGCCTTGGTTTTCCCCTCTGTCCCTCCTCCCCCTGGCCTCTCCCTCCCCTTGGGGTAGAAAAAGAGAGAAGTTCATTTGCACTGAACTGAGCACGGACTGGCCCTGGCCCTGTGGGAGTTGGGGGCAGGGGTGGGGCCGAGGCCAGCAGAGGGTCAGAGGTTAGACTGGAATGCAGACCTGCAAGGAAACACTGGACAGGGTAACTTTCCCTCTGGCCCTGGCCCAGCGCCTGCCTCCTAGGCACCAATCAGTTTTCTATGTGAGAAAAATCTCTGGAGAAAGAAAGGGCCACACTCAGCCGCCTCAGACCCAAAGGTTCCCCACCCAACCAACACACATCTTCCCAGGGCCTGCCTGGGACGTCTGCTCCTGCATATTCTCTGTAACGTGTGTGCGTGCGTCCGTGTGTGTGTGCGTGTGTGCGTGCGTGTGTGTGTGTGTGTGTGTGTGTGTGTGTGTTTGATGTCAGTAGGAGATCATAAGGACCGAAGATCAGGGCTGAGCTCAGGGATCATTTGATTCTCCCCATGCATCTTTTTGTGTTTTTAATTTATGGACAGAGTATTCATTGTCACGATAGCATTATTGAATATGACTTTTGTTCTCTCACCTCTGTCCCAGCTTCACTGAAGCTCCAGCCCTCCCGGGGTGGCACCTAGGAGTGCACCCTGAGCCCTCAGGCTCCTATTGGCCCTCTCTTCTCTGTACTTGGCAGACATAAAGGAAATTCTCCCAGGGTGAGGCACGCAGAAAAGTCACTTCCTCCCTGGCTTGTGACTTTGGGAAGTGAGCAGAGGGAGGCTTGAGGCTTTGTGGCCCAAGCCTAGGAACCATCTGGGGGAAGCCAAGGAGCCTAGGTGCGGTGCAGGACCTGTGATGGTCACCATACCTAGGTCATCAAGTAGGAGGGCGGAAGTAGACCTTCCAAACAGGAAGCCTGGGGTGGGGGCCGGAAGGCTGGTGGGACGGAGTGGGAACACTGGGCCTGGGGGCCTGCCAGAGCTGAGCTCAGGATGTGGTGAGAGAATCAGGAAACAGCCACACTGGGGTGGGGGTGGGGAGGAGGCAGCTGAGTTCCCTAGACTTGACTGTCTACCTCCCTCAGCCCTCTCTCTAAGTCCACACCTGCACCTCCCAACACTGTCTGTCTGTACAACCTCAGCCAGGATGACTGTGCCTGCCCTGTGCTGTCCCAGCCATGACCACCGCCCCTCGTCCCTCACCCTTCCTGAATAGTCCCAGGCTGTAGCTGGTGTTCTGCCCCTGCAGACTCTCGGGCTGGAGACCCGCCCCTCCTTCCCTGGCCCCCTTGTGACCTTATATAGCTGATGAGAGAGGTTCCAGTGAGTCACTTCCCTCTCTGCGCACCCCCTCCCCCCGCGCGCCCCATTCGGGTTATGCATTCCTGAGAAGCCCAGTCAGAAGCTGGGGGGAAGTGAGGCAAAGCGGGGGGGGGGGGGGG